AGAGGAGCGAGCGCTGTTCGAGGAGCATGCCAGGGATGACGAGGATGACATGCCCTCGTGCAGCGGCTTTCAGCAGGCGACTTCTACTGCGGCCGCTGTGGGAAAAGAAAAGGAGAACCCGACGGAGACTCTCTCGAGCAGTAGCAACTGCTCGGACACAGAGGAGTCGCAACGGGCGATTACTGGTGGGGCTCATAATCGAAGAAGGAAGAGGGGAGGCAGACTACCCGCCCTGCCACCAACGGGATGTCCGGGAGGACAGGACGATCCTAGAAGAAAGGGAATGAGTGGTGCCAGCCTGAAGTGGTATCTGAGGCACCACCAGGAGTGAAGAACTCCGGAGGAAGCCGAGACCCTAGCGCGAAACAGGGTAAGAGGTGACAGCACCTCCCCGGCTTGAGGAAAGAAAAAGGGTGGTAACACCGCGGCCACTAGAAAGCGTGATGGCAGCAATCGAGGCCACTGCCCAGTAAACGCAACTCAGCCCGCGAGCCGAGGTTGCGAAAGGGCAGCTCCCTTGACCACCCAAGCGCCTGAGCGAAAAATCGGACAGCTGGTGGTCCTGAGGCCATTCAAGCCAAAAACGATAACCGAGGGTGATGCAGCAAAGAGAATGCAGGTGGCTGAGGTTGCGACTCAACCCTGCGCAAGTACGTCGAAGCAGGCGGCAACTGCTGAGACAACGACGAAAGTCCCTTCCGAGAAGACGGGCGAGCAAGGGGGGGCGCTACCCTCCACTCAGGAGCTTCTGGAGGGGCTCACAAACCTGGCGGGAGACATCGCGGAGGACGGTGAGCATGAGGACCATTTCCTCATGGAGCCGATCCTGTAATGGGGCCGCGCTTATAGGTTGCCCAGGTGAACCTGCACCACGCGGCGTCGGCCTCGGCGGTTATCGCGAGCAGGTTCAAGATGGATGGACTGGGCATACTACTGATCCAGGAGCCATGGGTCAATAAAGGAGAGGTCAGGGGCCTTAAAACGGAGTCAAATAAGGTAATCTGGGATCTCTCAAGTGAGAGACCTAGAACCTGCATAGTACTTAGGAACGGTATTGACTTCTTCTGTATTTCAGACTTCCTAACTCAGGACCTGATCGGTGTGCAAGCAAGGAACGACGAAGGAGCGGACTTCGTCGTGGCAGCGGCCTATTTTCCGAGGGAGACTCCGACAGCACCCCCAGAGGCAGTCGGCAACCTGGTGGAGTACAGCAGTCGGAATAAGCTGCCCCTCATCATGCGTTGCGACGCAAATGCCCACCACACCGAATGGGGCAGAACGGACTGTAATACACGGGGTGAGTCTCTCATTGAGTTTATAGTCAGTAAGAATTTAAGTATAGCAAACGTGGGGTGCGAACCCACCTTTGTAACTAGGTGCTTGACATCACTCTCAGTAGCGAGGCTGAGACAGGGCTGATCTCACAATGGAGGGTGTCATCGGAACCCTCCATGTCGGATCACCGTATCATGAGATTCGCACTGGGGATGAAGGTCAAACAACTCCCTCCCAAGCGTATCCCTAGAAACACGGACTGGTCCGCTTTTAGGGACTCGCTTTTAACAAATGTTAGCAGTAGGGTGCAGTTGGATAGGAGTGCGTCGGCTTCTGGATTGGAGAGCAGACTGTCTGCCCTAAACCAATCCATTATAGAGGCATATCACAGCAGCTGTCCCCTAAAGACGACCACCAAGAGCCGCAACTGCTCATGGTGGTCTAGCAATCTCTCAGTGCTAAGGAAAGTGGTGCGCAAGCTATTCAATAAGGCTAAGCGCACCGGCAACTAGGAGGATTACAGATGCAGCCTAACTGCTTATAATAAGGAGATTAGGACTGCAAAGCAGAAGAGCTTCAGGAAGTTCTGTGAAAGCGTCTCCTCAACCCCAGAGGCAGCTAGGCTGCATAAGGCTCTGGCTAGGGGTAAGACGGACACAGTACTAGCGATCAAAAAATCCGATGGGACCTGTACGTCCAACGCAGAAGAAAGAGCCACGGCTCTTCTACTCGCGCATTTCCCGGAGACGATTCAAGAAGACCATATCCGACCTATGGTCGAAAGTAGGCCATCACGCTTGGACTGGGTAGTCGCAAAACAGCTCTTCACTGCAGACTCCATCAAGTGGGCTTTGGCCTCCTTTGAAAAATATAAGTCCCCGGGTGCGGATGGTATCCTTCCAGCTTTTCTGCAACAGGGGGAGCAGGTATCCCAGAACCATGGCGCACTGCAAGGGTGATCTTCATACCCAAAGTAGGTAGGAAGGACTACTCATTGGCGAAATCGTTTAGGCCAATCAATCTTACTTCCTTCCTACTTAAAAGTATGGAAAAGATCATAGACCACGAAATACGATCGAAGGTGTTGAAGGCTTCACCGCTTCATGCGAAGCAACATGCCTACAGATCAGGCAGATCAACAAACATTGCTCTGTACCAGCTAACCTCAGAGATCCAGAATTCGTTAGATGGGGGCAAGGTGATGTTATGCGCCTTCCTTGACATTGAAGGTGCCTTTGACAATACGTCTTATGAAAGCGTATCAAGGGCACTGGAGAAAAGGAGTGTGGTTGCACCAGTGCGAAGATGGATTGAAGCCGTACTGCGCACTAGGGTGGCGGAAACCGCAGTAGGTGACACTAAAATTCGTCTGAGCACAACAAGAGGATGTCCACAGGGTGGAGTGCTATCCCCCCTACTTTGGAGCCTAGTTGTGGATGATCTCCTTGAGCGGCTAACTAGCAATGGAATCTGCTGTCAGGGATATGCGGATGACATTGTTATCTTAGCTAGAGGAAAATTCGAAGACACACTCTGCGATATCGTACAGAGGGGATTGGGACTGGCAAAGGGATGGTGTAGCGGGGTTGGTTTAAACATCAACCCCTCCAAAACTACAATAATTCCCTTCACCAGACGGAGGTCACTGCCAGGCCTCAGAAGTATATCCCTTGACGGCAGAGTGGTGGAGATGGCCAACACGGTCAAATATCTGGGCCTCACGCTGGATTCCACTCTACGATGGAATCAGCACGTGGACCAGACCCTAACCAAAGCCACAAAAGCAATCATGGTGTGCAACCGACTTGCTGGAAAATCCTGGGGGTGCTCCCCAAGGACTATCAGGTGGATGTACACCATGATTGTGAGACCGATTATCACGTATGGAGCGGTATCGTGGGTTGCTAAAGCAGTGCAGACTTCGGTAGGACTCAAACTGTCGAAGCTGCAAAGACTTGCCTGCATCTGCGCGTCGGAAGCAATGCGAACGTGTCCAACCGCAGCACTGGAAGTCTTGCTGAAACCTTTCACCGCTACATCTGGTAATCAAACAGACAGCCAAATGAACTCTGCTCCAAATGACATCAGAGGGAGCTGGCAAAGATAAGGTTATCTCATCCCAGCACATGAAAGCGCTAAGTGAGGAAATACCACTAGCCCTTCTTCCAAGAGATAGCATTACCAAAGTAGTAAACTTCAACAGGAAGTTTAAAGTTACCCTCGGCAGCAAGTCTGAATGGAATAATTCATCACTGGATCTGCTGCTACGGGAAAGCACTATCAAGTGTTACACCGACGGGTTGAAAACGGAGGAGGGGATTGGTGCAGGGGTCGCTGGGCCAAGCACCAAACTCTCCATTCCCATGGGAAGACTCCCGAGCATCTTCCAAGCCGAGGTCTATGCTATAAGTCGGTGTATAGGGATAAACCTCCAACACAACTATCGCACTAAAAGTATTGCAATACTTAGCGATAGCCAGGCGGCACTAAGAGCGATCTCTGCCTATGAGGTCAGATCTCTTCTAGTGCTGGAGTATATAGAACGGCTGAACAGCCTATCGGAACACAACCGAGTGCACCTTATTTGGGTGCCTGGCCACAGGGGTATAGCCGGAAACGAACTGGCTGACGAGTTGGCCCGCTCTGCGGCCTCCACACAAATGATAGGACCGGAACCATTCATAGCGGTTGGTCCACATACAATCAAAGAGCTCCTCCGTAGGGAGGAAAGAGCAGACAGGGAGATACATTGGCAAAAACTCCAGGGCATGCACCATGCCAGACTGCTAATGGGGGGTTACGACCTCAAGCGGTTCAATGCCATAATTAATCTCCCAAGGAACAAGTTCCGGCTACTGGTAGCGTTCTACACCGGCCACTGCAGGCTTAAGAAGCACCTCTCCAACATGGGCATAGCTTCTTCTGCAAACTGCCGGTTCTGCGACATAGAGCCGGAAACCCCTGAACATCTGCTGATGAACTGCACAGCAGTCTCCAGACGCAGAATCAAGGCCCTGGGATCCATGTTTCCACACAGGGATTGTATCGCCTCCCTAGCACCCAGCAGAATTTTGGAATTTATCAACATGCTGGGCCTAGATGATACGATATGACTTAGGGGAGGGCACAATAGACCATAGGTCGCGGTGCATACCTCGAAATTAATCTATCTATCTATATACGCCTACTCGAGGACGGAGCACCTCAAATTAATATCGAAATGCAAAATACCCACAAGTTTTTTTTATAAGACCCAATCCATTTTCGTTCGACAGTGGCATGATTGTCAAATGTTATAAAAAATGTGGGTTTTGACAGCTCTCTCTCGATTCAAAGATCATTTCATCCTTGATATTGTGACGAACACTAATGATAGAACCAAATCGAACTAACGATAAATTTCACGAAGCAGCTAGACAGCGAATTCGTAGTTGCCAGATTGTTCAAGAGACGAAGTTTTGTTAAAGTTGTACTATATAAGGACTGCCGGATTGTGTAGCAAACAAGTAGTTGGAATTAGAAATAAAGATAAGTGTACAGCCATTAAATCCGTTACAATGTATATATTTTGATTACGTTCACAGCATTACATTTTAAAGCTGCTAAAATCGGATGTTTTCCTATATACGGTTATTACCTATATTAATATTATTACCTTATATTTAACTTCGCTATTAATAGTTCGCCTGTGTTCATGAATGAAAATGTTGTTGTTGTATGATTTTCTATAAATTTGGGCTTCAGAATTTTAGCTCCCACACATACACATAGCCAATTAAGTCTGCGTTCACCCTACACATATTTTTAAGTGAAGTAAAAACACAATGTAAATAGGTAATTCAGTTCAAACTTTTTACTTTCCGCTCACGGATTTGTATTCTACGCTTAAAAATAAAACGATTTAAAAAATATTTCATTTTTGAGGCCTCCTTAGTTGGGGGACCTAAACTATACATTTACCAATAAGATTGTGACGAATTGTGGGTTTTTTCTAAATACACATCCTAATATAATTAATGATGCCAAGCTGAAAATGTTTTAATTTGCTGGTTTTAACACCTTGTAATAATGAGTGAAATTATCATGTTCGATTGTTGGTATCGAAATGTATTTGTCGGTGTAATCATGAAAGAAAGGTACACATTGTATCATCTACAAAAACAAGACAGATTTTAAAATATTAAATTTATTAATTTATTGGTTTATTTTTTGATAAGTAATAATCTAAGAAAGTGTTTGTTTAATTGGCTAAACAAATGGCTCATGACCGAGAGATTTTAAGAATGATCTGGGAGGGTCAAATTGCTATATGCTTTGAAGCTGATTCCGAAGAAATCGTTGGTTTACAACAGCCTGAAAACTTTTACTTGATGGTCTCCCGTTTAAGTTATTTACCACTAGTTACGGATAAGGTATACCATTTTAAATTCCCTAAACATGTTAATGGGTTTAAAATTATTTTTATAGGTTAAAAAATATTTTAGTCGTTATATATCACTTGAACAACAGGACGGAAATGTATGGTTTGATTACAATGGAATCCCTTTAAAATTACACTATCCCATTGGTAAGTTAAATAAACGGGGGAAACTTTAGTATACCGTCCCAGGCTTTCGGGGATAAAATGGGGGAAAAACTTTAGTTTAGCATCCCACGATTTCAGGGTTAAGAGGCGTATGGTTGGATAGAGGATATTCTTCAGATCACGAATATATATAATTATAGTTTTTGAGATATTTGCATTTTAAGTTGAAAATTCCACAAATTTCATTTTACAATTTCTTGATTTATGGTTATCTTTTCTTTTATATTATGTACGGGAAAACTTTAGTATAACGTCCCAGGCTTTCGGGGATAAAATGGATATGGGCGGATAGAGGAGATCCTAAAGATCAAGAATATATATAGATATAGCCGCGGGAAACTTATAGTTTTCGAGATATTTGGGTTTAAAGTTCAAAATTTCGACTATTTAAAGTACGCCTTTTTTCCATTTCAAATGAGTTATGCACTTATATTTTACACTTTTATATCCACTAACACTTCACTAATTCGTTTGTACACATTTATTTTACATTATATAATGCAAAAATAGTTTAATTCAATAATTAAATTATTCTTAAATTCTATTAATTCTGACAATAACAAAAGGGTTGCAAAATTTCAAATAACCAGTGTTACCTTATCGACATCTTTTGTAATTGAGCTGAAAGAAATTAAAACGGATAATACCCCAAATACAGGAATCCAAAACCTAGAGAAATAAACTATTACAAAGCATTGATGTTAAGTATTATGTTATACCCTCTATGACAATATTACTTTTTTCTTGTAGAACTTCTTTTTGCGTTGGCGGCCTTCGGCCGCGCTTAAAAAAAAATAACCCTGGTCGGTCCAACACCGGGGTGTATCAAAATATTTTTCGCGCAGAACTTCTTTTTGCTATTACATTTTTGAGATATTTGCATTTTAAGTTGAAAATTTCATTTTACAATTTCTCGATTTAGGGTTATCTTTTATTTTATATTATGCACTTATTACACACTAACTGTTCACTTCAATGTTTCTACATATTTATTTTATATTAAAGATTTAAGTATTTGCTTTAAATAAGCATTTAATTTTTACACAATTTTCGTTATATGAACAATAACAAATGAGTTCCATGTTAACAACTAACAAGTGTTGCCATATCTATTATATATATATATATATAAATATATATATTTTGAATGCGAATTAAAATAAACAATAAAAGAGGATTATACCCCAAATACGTGAACTATAATTTTGCTCATTCCCTTCTATTGATAAATAATTGTTTAGATTGGCCAGGGTTATTTTTTTAAAGCGCGGCCGAAGGTCGCCAGTGCGGAAAGAAGTTTGACGCGATTAAATTATGAACACCCCGGTGTTGGACCGATCAGGGTTATTTTTTTGAAGCGAGACCGAAGGCCGCCAGTGCGAAAAGAAGTTTGACGCGATTGAATTATGAACACCCCGGTGTTGGACCGACCAGGGTTATTTTTTTTGAAGCGCGGCCGAAGGCCGCCAACGCAAAAAGAAGTTCTACAAGAAAAAAGTAATATTGTCATAGAGGGTATAACATAATACTTAACATCAATGCTTTGTAATAGTTTATTTCTCTAGGTTTTGGATTCCTGTATTTGGGGAATTATCCGTTTTAATTTCTTTCAGTTCAATTACAAAAGATGTCGATAAGGTAACACTGGTTATTTGAAATTTTGCAACCCTTTTGTTATTGTCAGAATTAATAGAATTTAAGAATAATTTAATTATTGAATTAAACTATTTTTGCATTATACAATGTAAAATAAATGTGTACAAACGAATTAGTGAAGTGTTAGTGGATATAAAAGTGTAAAATATAAGTGCATAACTCATTTGAAATGGAAAAAAGGCGTACTTTAAATAGTCGAAATTTTGAACTTTAAACCCAAATATCTCGAAAACTATAAGTTTCCCGCGGCTATATCTATATATATTCTTGATCTTTAGGATCTCCTTATATATCACCATATCCATTTTATCCCCGAAAGCCTGGGACGTTATACTAAAGTTTTATTGCATCTGATAATTTCACAAATGGATCATGATGCTGATTTACTATATTTTTACGCCATATTTATTCATATATCAAATTTTCAAAATCTTCACTGTTATTATAATTATCTTTAATAAAAATTGAAGTTTATAGAGAGTGATATATTCTCTTTAACATTACTTTTTTTTTTGTTAAGATTTCTTATTTGCACTGAAATGAAACAAAACATTTCATAAACAATATCACATTGGTATAAAATATAACCAAATACAAAAAAAAATAAATAAATAATAAAAATTAAATATGTACACTAATATAATATTATTTTAAATACTTAAAAGCTATAGTTTAGTATAATATTTACATATATAGGTAAAATGCCAAAATTTGGCAGAACCCAGTTTTGAATATTCTCGTAAAAAAATAGAAAGAAGTCGAAGAAGAAATAGGATACAAGAAACAGTCTCGTAAATATTATATCTATATATTAAATTTGAAGCTATTTTGTCTCAAAAACCTACATATGCTAAACACATAATATTTTTGCCCTAAAATGGGGAGTATTTAGGCTCCTATTGAAAAACTTAAGTGAAGAAAATCGTTACGACCGGAACTATAAATGGATAACATTTCGAAAGACTTGCCTTCTAAGTTCGTCACTCATTTTTTTTTAAATTATTGTTACAAATATGTGCATCTGAAAGTTTCGGTGCACAACGAATAGGATTTTGTGGGGGTAATTAAAAAAAAATACCTCTTTGCACATTTACTTCAAAGTATGGGTCTTCTTCTGAAACACCCAAGACTCTAGCTAAATAGTGAAATTTGGATCCCTGATCTAAAAAAAATGGCATGGATTCAAACCTATATTCTGTAATTGGGTAATGGCATCAAAAATATATTTTTTAGCTACCTCCCCTTTACAGGAACAATGGACAATAAAATATGATAAGGGGTGAGACCACGGCGCTCCACCAATACCTTGGACCATCAGAGTCATTGCACTAATACCTATTCTATTTGTGCGATTTTCATCGCCATAATCCTCAACTCCTACAATTTTGTCAAACTTAGGTAAATATTGCATATAACTCTTAAGTGCCATTTCGTCACACAAAATCGACACGAATTTTCGTTCCTTACTGAAGCCCCGGCTTATTAACTCTAAACACCTAATGCTGCTACTATTACATCCTGGATCACGGGGACATTTCGAAACAAACTCGTCCAGAGTTCTCTCATCCGGAAACCTAAGGATTGGCTTAAGGTGTCTATAAGCTAAAGGTGAAAGGAAGTACACACCCAAAGCCAGTGTTTTAAAATAATTGTCGTATCGACTTTTAGGATTTCGTTTAAAATGTTTAATATTATTTTGCACAATGGCGCTTATCTGTGGAGAAAAATTACTACAAAAGTGACCTACTTGTATTACATCAAAACCTTCCTCTTTCTCCTTTAACTCATTTTCTAATTTTTTATATTTCCTATATAAATCTTCTAATTGATATTTCAGGTAACTAATTTCCCTTTCCTTTTCTTCTAGCTTATTTTTAACTCAAAATCTTCCTCCACCAATTTCTGTTCCCTAAAGGCCCCTGATATTAAATTTAAATTTGTTTGGATTCCTATACCCCTACAATGCATTCTTCCTGGGCTTCTTATGCCACAGATGCTAATAACATTAAATTATAGGAGATATCAGGCGATTCATTACCTAATTCGATTATGAATGAATACATTTGACAAATGTATAACCAAATCAAATATCTAATTAAAATATAAATAAAATCCTAAGCCTCAAAATTAATTTTATGAAATTTCCGCAAATTTCTACTACTAGTTCTACAATTAAACGGATAAAATAAAAATCTGATTGCAGCAATTAATTTCTACTATTTTAGTAAAACTTTTACAAAAAAAATATAAATTTTTTAAATTATTCCTACACAAGTAATACAATCAATATTTTAATAAAATTAAGTAAATACGTTTAAAAATTTAATAATATCATGCATTAATACAATATTTTCCAGATTAGTGGATACCATAGCCATATAATATTAATAATTTCAAAATCTTAATTTAAACATCTACCATTAACATTTTAAGCTTTTGGACTAACCTGTCTTTATCCTTCTCCCTACAAGGAAAGTTGAAGATATGCTGTCCGCCCTCGCATTTTCTTATTTTCGGCATTTTTCTATAAAATACAAAACATTGAATTAGAATATATCACAAATATCACTATTATGCAATGCAAATAATTTATTATAATGCACTTTTATCATCATACCAATAAGTACCGACTTTTTCACTGATATTCTGTTTCACACTGAATTCTGTCGGTTATTTATAGCGGTATTATATTTGGCATCACGCCTTTTTTGACATCAGCTGCTCGAAATTCCCCAATCTTCATAATCAATGACAGAGAATTACAGAAAAATCAGTAAAATGAGAGAGTCTCGCATCATGTCATCCTTGGCATTGTGTGTGGTAGTCAAAACACCATAGGCATTCTTTCTGCTAGAACGTACATAGTTTCAGAATTTGATTAAATTATTGTGAAGGGAAGGTAAAATTATATTACTTTTATTAATAAATAGTTAAATTTAACGTTTTAATATTGACTAAAACAAAAAATTCGTCGAGGAAAACACTGTACGCTTAAAAAGAGGATTTTAATAAAAAAAGTGAATTTCAGAAGTTAAAACATATGCTGAAATCATGAATCGAAACGCTATATATTATGAACCGAAAGTAGAATCGCGGGGCCGAAAGAGAGGAATGTCACCAAAAATGATAGCACGCTTAATCACACGATTGAAAGCAAAGCCATTAACGCCAAAACAATAGCACCATGCAAAGCGCATACAGTTTTCGAAAATCCACTTCAAATGGCTAGCTGAAAGGTGGCGAAACTTTCTTTGGAATGACGAGAGCAAAGTCGTTTTGTTTGGTGACCGAGGATCCCGAAATTATGTTAGAAGACCGATTAATGCAGAATATAGGCCGAGATATACCACAAAGCACGCAAGCAAATAAAGTACGGCGGCTTCAGTATTATGGTTTGGGCGTGCTTTCTTACTATGTGGTTGGCTCAATTGAATGGATTAAAACAACGATGAATCAGCAAGTATTCGTTGAAAGCTTGCAAAACTTGATGGTGCCGTATGCCCGAGAGGAAATGCCGTTAATTCGGACAACGCAGCAGGATAATGATCCAAAGCATACCAGCAAAAAGGCGCGTAAGTGGTTCAAGGACAAACGGGCAGAAACTAGTTAACTCCGGCAGCACGATGTTCCGCTGTTATTGACAACAACGGATATGCAACAAAGTATTAGAATAAAGGTTGTTTTATGAAAAATTTAAATACTATAAAATTAATGTATGTATTGTTATACAGTTTCATTATTTTCTTTTATTTAACAAAAATCAAGTGGATGTGCTATTTTTTTTACCGAGTGAGTTTCTTGTAGTTTACAGTTATTTTATCGCAACTTTGCTGTACGCTATTAAATATTGATTCAGTGGTTAATAATCCTGTTTGTTGTACTGAATATATATAAAAATTAACTTCTGGATAGTTAAACAGTTTTCGGGACTTTGTTTGTCAAACATATATTACCGGCGTGGTGCTATTATTTTGACCGCAACTGTACATACATATATACAATTATGTACGTATTATACGTATATAAATTACGATGGCGAAACTAGTTGAATTCCGTGAGATTCTGTCCGTCCGTACAAGCGATAAGTTTAGTAAAAATTGTGATATCTTTGTTAATTGGTGCACGTGTTCCTAAGTATTATAGATTGGCCGAAAAGGACAATCGTCACGCCCGCAAAATGCCTTTAACAGAAAACTTTTAAGTGCTATAACTCAACAACAAAATACGAAAAAAAAACTATTACTTACTGATTCAAAGAGGATTAGATACTCGAAATAACGGATCTGGCCGGATAAAATCCGGGTCAATTCCGGTATCATAGAATCGGCTGTTGTGGAAATCATATGGTCGCCTAGATGCAGCAGGACGTAGACGGAGAAGATACAGACATGTCAGAACACCATACTACAGACTAAAACAGACTGTCTCGTGATGTCTTCCATCGATCATCTTCATTGTAAAAGAGCATAATACATAATTTTCGTAGAAACCTGTAGTCACCTGCTTGAAGCGGAACCATCTTCTAGGAACATCAAGAGAACATTCCTCCAACATGTCGACAAACTTGAACAATGTACCGACCAAATTTCGGACGGACCGATTTCCGACGGGTACTGAACGCCATTCACAGTGAGATAGTCACATCTTCATCGACTCTCTCCCACTGAATGGCGTACTTGGAGTCCAAACACTACCCATAGCAGAACACGAGCACGAGTTTGCGCGTGAAGCAAGAGTGACCATAGCGCAACTTCGTTCTAGGTATTGTAGCAGGTTAAACTCCTACTTAACCAGAATAGGCCCAGACATACAAAACCCATGTCTTGCATGCAGTCCTCCCATGACACTGATCGCCTCTCTGCATGCCTAATAAAACCAACTTAACTCCCCTCTCCCTATAGACCGAACCCGTCATAACCTCTCGTTTCCTGAGCCTACCGTTAAATGGCTTCGATGACAGTTAACTTATTGCCTACCCCCCAAGCGGGGTCTGGATAATTATTGCGACAACAACGCAAAGCTGTAATTTGGTCAAAAAGAGAGCAGTGAAGGTGGACATCTGTGGCTGTAAATTTTTAAATGGTGGGCATGGTCCTCTCCCTAATAGTTTGAATGTACATATCTCACAAACAAAAAAACGATATCAATTAAACTTGTTGAGGACGAATCTCACTATCCTCAAATGTTGTGAAATCGGATGATAATCATGTTCACTCCACATATAACGGTTATGTTGTAAACTATTGAAAGGTGGGATAACAGACTAAATAAATACATTAGAAGGATTAAATTTCACAAGATGCCGCACAAGAGCTACAAAGAATCGACGAGGATTGGACAATGGGCGTGGCACTGCCCACATCTAGGTGAAACCTCATATCTCAGAAATTTCAAACATATATGGTACATACCATTTTCCCAACATTCTGTTGCTGCATTGTGAAAATGGGCGAAATCGAACTACAACCATGCCTACTTCTCATATATTCCAATTTTGAATTCCATATGATTTTTTTTACGTTTTTTCGGAGCTACTTTTAGGTTGCTAAAAAACTCCTCCGGGGAACCGTCGGTCACCCTGGGGCCACTTTCGCATTTATTTTTAGGTTAGGTAGTAGGGCTGATCCTGACACCAAATGTGACGCAGGATCTTAATTGGACAGCTGTGGTCTTCTGTGATTCCCAAAAATTACTATATATGCATCACCAAACCCTTATAGATCGACGAAGTGCTTTGACCCTACCACAAATTAGATAAGGGGGCTAATATCAATCCAAGCAACTTTGCCAGGTTTGTCGACAGTGTGTCTATCGAGATGCTTCAACCTCAGTGTGGCAAAAGCTGTATAGTTGTGAAGCAAGTGTCTTAAGTGTTGCCACCATGCGTTTTTTCCCATACAGCTTTGGAAATTTGCATCCGACAAGATATGTAACCTGTCCGACGGCCTGTTGGATAGTATCTAATCAGAAGACCTATGCTGGCGAGATACACCTTGTAAAGAGCAAGTAATTTATATGACCGCTTGTTTTCCCCTTAGAGCCCGAAGGATTTCGTTGCCGAATGTCAAGCTCATGCGAGGTCCGTGGATCTAACGTTATAGAGCAAGAGAACAGCAGAGTACCGACTCGTTGCCCCTCTGATGAAATAGGAGTAAGGGAACCCTTTCTAGCAAGCTAATCAGCTTTGCAGTTTCCAGCGATTTCGCTATGACCCGGAGCCCAAACAAGTCGAATATCAAAGTAGCTTGATGCTATTGATAAAGATGTTAAAAACTTTTGACAAGTCTTGTGAACACTTTCATCGAGCTCAAGATAGGTATTGCAGCTCTGAGAGATCACATCTCTTTCCAATTTCCCTCCACGAAAGCTTTCTGTCTAGGATAAGCCCCAAGTATTTACTTCATCCTGTATACAGATACAGCCTCCCAATAAGGGGAGAGAAATATCTGGATTCCTATAACTCGTAGTAAATAAAAAATAGCACAATTTTATGTAGGTTCATGGCCCATTTCTATCTGCCCACTTGGTTACTACTTCAGGAACCCTTAGTAGTTAGACGGTGTTTAGAAAGATTACTAAATCGTCCCCGTAGGCTATCACTCGACAGCCTCGTTCCTGCAATAGTTCACCATCAGATCCAGAGTTGTTGTAACGGTTATCTATTCCCCGCTTGGGTGGTAAGGTTGAAATTGGTTGTCGTCGTATTCATTTAACGGTAGGCCCAGGAAACTTGCTGTTTCGACGGTTTCGAGCTATAGCGAGAAGGGTGTTTATTAGTGGGATTCGTTGTGCATGTTAAGATGTGGGTTATAAGGGGACTCAGGACATATATATAGTCGGTCGGTGTCGACGCTGGATAAGTAGGAAAGTGATTTTTAGTGAGGAAGGAATTCTTTGCCATAACACGGTTTGACTTCAGCTTCTTTGCTGCCGTTATCTGCTTCCTTCCAAACCCTCGGATAGTTCCCAAAACCCTCATAAACCTAGCAGATGCTCCTCTGCTGGTGTTGATGGTTTCGCGATCCCCATCATCGCTGCCTCTTTTACCAGTCGGCTGCTTTCTGCCGACTCCTACAGGCTTACCATCGCCCCTAATGGGAGTAGTCGCGTGTTTCAAGGTGTATTATTCTAAGTAATTTTCGTCGTTTTCTAAGTAATTTTTCACGTTCTCCCAGTTTTACTCGTTTTGGAGCATGGCAGTTATAATATCAGCCTTTAGGAAAGCAACCAATGTGTGCAGCTTATTTCGCTCTGTTTGCCAGCGTATGCATTCAGAGTCATCGTCGATCACATCGTTCTATATAGGAGACCGCTCTTCGTTTTCCGCCATTTTATATAGATATTTCCTAAAATATCCACGCGCAGATAATATATTTGTAGCCATGCTTCCTACTGAACCACTCCACTATATTTTTGATTAGCCTAGGTGCCCGTATACCATGACGTCCCTGCTCCCAACGAGTTTGCCATTGTTTCAAGGTTTCGTTCTTTATTTCCTCTTTTGTGGTGGTAACATTTGTTTTTTGTTTTTTCAACGTTCAAATACCCTTGAAGCAGCTGTGCGATACACTTTTCCTGGACTTACGTAGGTTATTTTTCCTTAATGAGTGCATTGACATGCGTCATTCTATATTCTCCCTGAAAGGAGGTTTAGTGGAAGTCTATTTAAAACAAAGTTGATAATTTGCGTGATATATCTAAAATATATATAATAAATATGTAGCATACGAAGTAATATTGACTCTTGTTTTAATAAAGGGGTTTTATACGATCAATTATATCCTGAAGAAGATAGTGTACCGTGGTATCTGACAATACATTTTTCAAAATTCCCAGAAGACGTCTTGGTGAGGATTTCAACAAGGTTTGATTTTTTTGATTATTCTAAAATAAAGTTTGTATATATAATATGTAATATGTAATTATTTGCAGAGACCTCTTGGAATCACATTTTATGTCATGTCTAAAGGAAGCTGATGTTCTTAAGCATAGAGGACAAATAATATCTTCGATGCAAAAGAAGGATCACAACCAACTCTGGCAAGGATTAAGCAATGATAAATTTGATCAGTTTTGGGCGATTAATAGGCGTTTGATGGAGGCAAATGGAGATCAAGAAACATTTAAATACATTCCAGTTCGATTTTATGCTGATGTGAGTATATATCATTTACAATTTCTTATGCTAATAATGTAATTTTTATACTCTCGCAACATGTTGCACAGAGTACATCAGTAAAGGACTCTGATTGGATTTTCGTCTTTTCGAACATATGCAAAGCCAATATTCGAATCAGCGAAGCTTTACTAATTTGACAAAACTTGAAAATGAATAAATTTGGAAACTTTTGTTAAATTTAAAATACTGTCTAAAGTCTATTAAAGTTTACAATGAGTTCCGATATGTTAGCTTTTATTTTATTAGAAGAAAAAAGTAACGAAAAACTTAAAATGAAGATATTAGGGGACACAGTAATCCACTTGAAGCACCTGGGGAATCGCATGTGAAATTTGGCTTGCATTTACTTTTATGCTTGTATATTTGCTTACTTTTGAAATTTATATCACAGTATTGACTGAATAAAGCCGCATTTGGGTGTTAAATTTCGTTTATTACGTTTTGTAAGCCCTCTTAAAATATTTGAATTTTTTCCACAAATTCAATAATTTTGACATTTTGTCTTCTATTCTTATGTTTTCCGCTATAAAAATAAAGATAAATTAAATCGTAACATTAATATAAATTAATTTCTTAGCTCACATTTCAAATCTGTCAGAATCCTCTTGCTTTGTTTCTGATAACAAAACTGATAAAACTGATTTCCGTGACACTCAAAACCGACGCAATTTCTGTTTCGAATGTCAAACCAATAATATCTGAATTCATAATACCTACATTTTTATAATCGGTTTCAATTCTGGTTCCGACAACGACAAGATTTTACAACACCCATGATAATGAATTTCTGTCCATTGGTTGACTTTTCCTTCATATACTCAATATATAAAGTTTCTTCGGATGGAGCATATTTTAATAAAATTAAGCGAGAATTTTTCGATAAGCATTATGTAATTCAGTAGTCAAAATTATGGCTATTGGTGTATATTTTCCCACGATAGTCGGTTCTCCGTAACCGGAAGGGATCCGGATTTTATGCGGACAGCATTCTTAAATCTTTTTCGGGAATGTTTTTTGACGCTGCTACAAGAGTATTTGGTATTTTATTAATTTTTACTAAAGATCCTTACTCCTTTATTTTCATTACAACATCTTCATCTCCACCTCGGATTATTCTAATATTAAAATCAATCTAAATAACACAGACTATATTCATCAAATGAGTGCTGCTAGTTTTTTCTACCGATTGCCGTAATGATAATTCAAATATTCTCGCTTAATTTGGTTGGGTCATTTGCTATTGAGTTCTATGCGACATAAACCAACCCAGAGAAAGAATTTCATTATCCCGAATATAAGGGAAATGCCAATCAGTGAATAGGAAATAATTATATAATCTATAATTCATATTTAACGCTAAACCATATAGCTGTTAAGAAATCATGTTCACCTAATTTCATTAAAACTCAAAATGTCACACATATTGACGAATGTAAATGTTAAGTCAACCGGAAAGTCGAAAATCATTATACTAAATTATGCTATACCTATAACAGGTTTGCATGCAATTTTATTGAGATTATTCAAAATTTGACCAACATATTCACAGAAAGACCAGTAGATTAATGATAACATAGTATAACCAAATTTTACACGTTTTGATTAGCAGACTTCAATAAAACTCGAAATAAAGTATATTTAAGATATAAGGTTGTCATATATCTCCCTTCCGCTTTTTTGTCTTTTGAATTTCGCGGCTATGTACAAAGCGCTACAGAGCTCGTATCTGGCAACACTTTACATAATTTGAAAGGTCTTGACATAACCTACAAAACAACGCTATGCATGATTAGTTTGGATATTGCGTTCAACAGTTATAGACGTGTAAACATGGAGTTCACTAATGCCGAAATTCGCGCTATTTTAAAGTTTTCCTTCGTTAAAGGCAAATCCGCTAGAGAACGTTCCGTGAGATTAATGGTGTTTTGGGGGATGGTACTCTATCACTTCGAACCGCGGAGGAATGGTTTCGACGATTCAGAGTCGGTGAAAACGACACCATGGATAAGCCAGCCGGCGGAAGACCTGTGACGACAAATACCGATCAAATCATGGAATACATCGAGTTAGACCGGCATATGGCATCTCGTGACATCGCCCAGGAGATGGGAGTTAGTCACCAAACCATTTTGAACCATCTGCAGAAGGCTGGATACAAAAAAAAGTTTGATGTTTGGGTGCCGCATAATTTGACGCAAAAGAACCTTCTGGACCGAATCAACGCCTGCGATATGCTGCTGAAACGGAACGAACTCGTCCCATTCTTGAAGCGGATGGTGACTGGCGACGAAAAATGGACCACATACGACAATATCAAGCGAAAACGATCGTGGTCGAAGGCCGGTGAATCGTCCCAAACAGTGGCCAAGCCGGCTGCTCCCATATGGCCAGACGCTTAATTCTACCATCTACTGCGAACAACTGGATCGCTTGAAGCAGGCGATCGACCAGAATTGGCCAACAGGAAGGGTGTAGTGTTCCACCAGGACAACACCAGACCACACACTTCGTTGATGACTCGTCAGAAGCTACGGGAGCTCGGATGGGAGGTTTTATCGCATCCACCATAAAGCCCGGACGTAGCGCCAAGTGATTACCACCTGTTCCTGTCCATGGCGAATGCCCTTGGTGGTGTGAAGTTGAACTCAAAAGAGGCTTGTGAAAAGTGGCTGTCCGAATTCTTCGCAAATAAGGAGGGGGGCTTCTACGAGGAAGGTATTATGAAGTTGCCGTCTAGATGGAAACAGATCGTCGAACAAAACGGTGCATATTTTAGCTTTTTTGCTAAATCCGATCACTGTAACACTTTTTATAAAGCATTGAATGAAGAGCAAAAAAGCGGAAGGGAGATATATGACAACCTTATATTATATATTTCTTAAGTTTTATTTTGAGCAAAATCAACTACTACAAGGTACAATTCAAAAGTTCCAGGACTTTTTAAACAACGCGGCTTCTAGTGGCGCCATCTGTCTGAAATTGTTATCCCTTAATTGTGTATTCTTCAGTGTTGTCGTATAAAATTTATATAACAACTGAGATATCGCGCTACATGTGACATTACATTTGCAGTGTCGGTCGGAAAATGAGGATCATCAAAACTTTTACCAAAACTCATCAAATGATGAAACAAGTTTATGGCGATGATTGTCTATCCCGTAGCCGTATTCACGAGTGGTTTAAACGTTTTCAAAGTGGTCGTGAGGACATAAATGAGAAATAAGTTGAAACCCAAAAAATCGCGCCTGGAGAAATCAAAAGTGAAGATAATGCTGATTTGTTTTTATGATTCCAAGGGTATTGTCCACAAAGAATTTGTTCCACTCGGCCAAAACGTTAATGCGGTATTCTACCTTGGATCTTTGAAGCGTTTGGTAGCACGTATTCGTCGCATTCAGCCCGAATATCGCGAAGATGGAAGTTGGCGTTTGTTGCACGATAATGCGCCGTCTCATCGATCGACGCATGTGGCCGCTTATTTGACCAAAAATCAAATTTTTATTTTTAAACCACTCCCCGTTTTCACCTGATATGGCACCGTGCGACTTCTACCCTTTCGGAAAACTACATTTGGCCATGAAAGGAAACCGCTATGCTGACGTTGATGCCATCTAAAAGCGACTAATAAATTTAAAAAAAAATAATAATAATATTCATTTTTTTAATAAAAGTCCTGAAACTTTTGAATTGCACCTTGTATAAAGAACACAATCAAGGTTATCATGGCTTTATTGCGATTTTGCCCTCTTCAACTATCGCAGTATAAACTTAAATTTGCCAGTTGTTCTTTCGTCCGAAATAAAAAGATAAATAGCTGTGCATATTTCAATTTATCAACGTTGGCGTACTTTTTCCCCCATAGGAAACAAAAGACTTTTCTTGTTCCATTTTCGTAAACTCCTGAATTATAATATGCAATCTTCTTAGAATAAAATACGTTATATTCACTTTATTCATATATCTTACTTCCAATAACTGGATCATTTCATGTCGCTTACGTTATTTGCGCGGGCGCGAAAAAGCTTGTCTGTTGCTTGCTTTGTAATTGTTAAGCCGATATCTCAGTTTTAATACTGAATTGCCTTTTTAAATGTTTGGTGTAGATGCGTTTTTCAACAAAATGGCGTTTACGTTCTTTTTGCGAGAGTAGCTTAAAATCTTTTAAATTGACCAATATATGTGGTATTAAGCTAACAGAAAATATAAAAATCCTTATATTAAGTATATGGGGGTGTATAGGCGAAAGATTTACCCTATTTAATTCATTTTGGGCACCACGACACAGTATTATAACGAAAACGATGCTTTCTAAACATCATTAACGTATTTAAGTGATTGTATCTCTTTGCAGCACTTTTGCCAGGAAAATATTTCCCCTGCGTTTTACTAAAATATCTTATTAACCAATATTTCCGATATAAAGTTAGACGTAGATCCGCATTCGGTATATGGTCCCATTTTCATGTGAGAGGTTTCACACCTTAAATACACTAGGTGCGGTTATTATAAAATTTAATGCTTTTTACATTTTTTAGTGAGTTCACAGACTTTTAGAAGGTTTCCAACATTTGACCTATTTTCACGTTGTATGATCAAGTTTAAAGAGGCTTGATTCCAGCAAATTGTTGCTCTTCTCATTGAAATTTTTTCTATGAAGATTGAGTTAATAGCGCAATTTATAGCTTAATTATGGCACGTTATATTTTTTCAAATAACAGCAACTTTTTGAGCGTGGAGTGGTCAGTTAAAAATTTTACTTAAGTTATCGGGGTAAACTTAAGAATAGAAACCGGCTAAGGATTATATATGTATATAATAAAGCTGCATCCCCAGACGTTTAGTATTTAACACATTAGTAGTTAAAGTTCATAAATTTAACGATTTTAAGTATGTAATTCCTCAATTTAAAATGAAGTTTACACTTACACATATACTAGTATTTTACTAAATTGGTTCAGTATATTTATTTAATAATAATTATAAAAAAAATAAACTAATTCAGCATTTCACTTTTTATTCAACTCGATTTATGCACACAACAACAAAAGGGTTGCATTATCTGCAAAGTTTTAAAGACAAATGCAGGAAACATACACCTACTTAAGATAAAAAGAATTTTCCAATTCAGTAAAAGACAACTGTTTTATGGATTATAAGTATATTTTATTATATATTTATATTATATATTGTTTTAAAAATATCTCAGGGCGGCCCAACACCGGGCGTCCTCACATCCTTCGCTTAGAACTCTTTGTTATATAATATTATATATAACTTTATATTTATCTTACATACTATAGTCGGTGCAACATATTGTCAGAGTACAATAAAATAATTCAAAATAATTTGCTATTCTTTTCCGATGTTCTTTTTTAATTACTGACAATTTCAACATTTGATAGTGATAGAACTAAAAAGTACACTTACTTATCTGAATAAATGATTATGGAGATAATATTAAATATTATTTCTTCATATTCACATTTATAGGAAGATATCTACACTCAAAAGTTGATAACACCCATAAACAAAAATGGGAAAAAGAAAACTGTTGGTGAAATGATGATTGAGATGTCGACACCACTCAGAAAAGTTGGTAAGTTTAAATGGCCGACTTGTCTTTATATTTATACCCTGAACAGGTAATATTAAGTTTGTAACACACTGAAGGAAACTTCGAAGACCCTTTAAGTATATATATAATATAAATCATCACTGCCGAGTTGGGCTATGTCTGTATGTATACACGCGAAATATCAGTATTTAAAATATCGATCTGAAACTTTGCACACTTGTCGGACCACTATAGCCATACAAACTGACCGGTCATAACCAAGCTCTTGTATGTCGTTCCCTCGACAGTCGGGTTTAAGTAACCGGAACGGACCTTGATTTTTATTCGGCCAAGGACTGCCAACTCGGCACTATTCCTCGAAATTACTTCAGGAATGTTTTCTGCCGCTACTACAACAAACACAAGTTCTTGTATGGAAAACTTTTTTTAATAATAAGATATATGTATTCACGAAATTTGGCATAGATTATTATCAAAGACAGCGCTACAATTTTGTTCAGATCGGACCACTGAAGACTGGAGATTGACCGATCAAGATCTTTTTATACTCTTTTATGCTTGTGAAATATATTTTACTTCTGTGCAGCCGAAGTTAACATTTATTTTTGTTTTTATAATATTTTTCTTCCTTTCTTTTAGTTGAGGTTCGGACTCAAGGCATCAGCATACACGATGGAGCAAACTTACAATGGTTATCCGAACATTTAAGTTACCCGGATAATTTCCTACACTTATTTTTAGTTTATGAATCTAATATCTAATTGTTAATTATAATTTAAGGTATAGATCAAACAGACATTAAGGTTAGAACATAAAAGTTCAGAAGTTTTCGCGTTTGCCGCAAAAGAAAATAAGGGGTGTTGTGGAATCAAAGACAGATTTGCGTAGTTGTCAGAATTGCAAACCAATTCTGATTTTGAATGGTGTCACAGAATCTGATTGGATTTGCGTCTTTTTGCATATACAAAACCAATATTCGAATCAGCTGTTTACTAATGTGACAAAATTTGCAAATGAATAAATTAGGAAGCGTTTTATAAATTTGAAATGCTGAATGAAGTCTACTAAAGTTTACAATGAGTTCCGCTATTTTAGCTTTTATTTTATTTGAAGAAAAAAAGCAATGAAAAAAATAAAAGGAATATATTAAAAGATCACAGTAATCCACTGGATGCACCAGTGGAGTCGCATGTGAAACTTGGCTTGCATTTACTTGTATGTTTGTATACATGCTTATTTTTCAGATTTATATCACATTATCGACTGAATAAAGACGCATTTGGGTGTTAAATTACGTTTGCTTCGTTTTGTAAATTCTCTTAAAATATCTTGATTTTTTCCATACACTCGATAATTATGACATTTTTTGTTTTATTCTTATATTTTAACCTATTGAAATAAGGATAAATTAAATCGTAACAATAATATACATTATTTTCTTAACTTACATTTCAAATGTAAGCAAAAATCCTCTTGCTTTGTTTCTGATAACAAAACCGATAAAATTGGTTTCCGTGACACCCAAAACCGATACAATTTCTGGTTCGAAAGTCAAACCAATAATATGTGAATTCATGGCACCTACTACATTTTTTTTTTATCGGTTTCAATTCTGATTCCGACAACTATCATATTTTACAACACCCCTGAATATATGATTATTTTGTACCCACAATCTTAAACCATGCGTGGCTGAATTGAAAAAAAATTGCTATTTGTGACCAAAAAGTTGGGGAAAAGTGAAGATAGATGGGAGCTTATAATACGAAACGCAGAACTTTGTTATGATAATTTTTATTTGAATCGGTTTGTCCAAGTTTTTTTTCAATTTCTTGCTGTTTCAAAGCTTGCAAAGAAATTTCTTCTGTGTTTGGTACAAAAAAAATATTGTTATTAGTACTGTTAAACAAACACGAAAAGTGTTTTCCGTTTAGGTTAAATAAATTATTATATAAATAACTCGAATCATGGTTAATGCTTTTCTGAAAGCTGATAATTTTGGGAGTTTCCATTGTATAAATAACGAGTAAAACAAAAACCAAATATAGTTAAGTCTTTGTACTTTTATTATACTTATTTGATTGCAGCTCATTTTATTTTATAACTTTAGCTATACAAGTTTAGAAATAACTTTTCAAAAAAATACAAATCTTTTATGAATACATATGACATACACAAATTTACTTGTAGATTTTCGATTTGATTTAAAGCTTTAATTCTTAAGCCACTTTTTAATTGACATTTTAAAATCGGTGATACATACACTATGTATGTAAATGTATACTTATATCTTAAATAATTTTATTCCATTTAATATTGATATGTTGAAATATTAACCCCCAACGTTATTGCATTGCTTACAACAACCGAAACTACCCATTTGGGTGTTTATTTACATCCGAGGATACTAATAAATTATAATTATAAATGGATTATAATTATAAATATATAATTATATATATGTGTGTGTACAGTTATTGCCATAATTTTTAAATACAATATACAGCCTTCTATAAATCTCTCTAAAGATTTTTTGATTTTTCCATTTTTTAATGTAAATAATCATTACTTAAAATTTGCTGCATACATGTATACACAATGTATTGTATGTAAATGATTACAAATTACATTTCGTACAATCTAAAAAACTTAGGCATACAAAACTATGGAAGCATTCGTTGCCGGTGGGTTTGAGTTTGTGTCTTGATTTAACCATTTTCGAACGCAATTCTCTTGGCATGTCAAATTCTCACAGACTGCATGTACTTGCAGATCAATATTACAGGTTCTTTCTTCATTTATTCTGTAATACTCCTCCTTATATGATGATTCACTATATGTTGAAGACGAACTCTCATATCCTGAAACGGGAGATCCTTCGGCACATGGAATCATTGGAGATAGAGCTGATATTGCAGTCTTATGAAAGGCACTTGGAAGATTTAACGGCTTGCATCCTTGAAAGTACGTACTCTCTACTTGAAAATTATGTTCAGGAATATTTGACGGATTAAAATCGTTTGGTTTTCCATCACTTTCCATTTTATATAGTGAAGATATGCAACTCTCGTTTTCATCGGAGACTTTTCTTTCTGAAGCTTCCTCATTTTCACTAAATTTTTCATCTTTTTCGTCAAGGAGATATGGTTTAAATAATTTTATTGGTTTCGGAGGAGGTGACTTAATTTCCATTTCCACTTCGATATCATCATCATCACTTTCATTAGGCTCTTTAACTTTTGTAAATAAAGTGGTAGAAACATTTTTCGAATTAAGCATCAGTTTGTTTGGTTGGTCATTCCTCGAAATAACCTTCCGCTTCCTAAAAGTCAAATCCACCACATTCTCGTATTTATTTTCGGCCACATCATCAGTACTTGATAAATGTCTTAAACTACAATTTATGTTCTCAGCATTCTCACGTCGAGAGCCAATTGATAGATCGATTGGCGTAACAGTTAGGCACGATGTGTTTGATGATTCTTGTGTCGCGTTATAGTTTTGCAATGTATATTCTTTTTGATTTCCATTCTCAATGTATGTACTTTGAGGATATTTATTTAAAGATTTGCGGCCACAGCAATCTTCAATGTTATCCACTACAATTTTCGTTTCATGTTCACTCAATTCAATTGAACTAATTGTCTCACTTCGTTCGAATAGGAATTCCTCTGTCGTTATGTTGGTTTGTGGCGGACATGAAGAAGCCAAGTCAGTTGAAGACAAAACAGTCACAGGTAGACAAGTTGACGACATTAGTGACGGCATTGTTGACACCCGAGATTGTGGTTGTAACAGTGTATGGGTATGCGGAGGTAAATTGTATGGGTAGTGCCGATGATGTTGCGGTGAAATATGTGTTAGAACGGGTATCGGTATAGACATATTTGAAGAAGTATGAGTGTATGGCGTATCGTAATGATGATGATGGTGGTGGTGGTGAGGCTGAAGGTGGTGAGTATGAAGAATTGGTGACGATATTGCCGCAGTGTTGCCACTTACTACAGTCTGACATAGTGGTGACGATGTATTTGTAGTCGAAGTGCTGGCAATAGCTATAGCACCCGCTGCAGCGGCGGCCGCCACAACGGCGGCCAAGTTCGCCGCAGCATAGACCCCTTGTGTTGATGCATTCGTTGATGGAACCACAACTGGTATTGATGGCACTGTTGTAGAATTTGTAGCGACACTGTGTCTGGCTGTGTCCAAGGGCAGTTGTTGAGGTTTACTTTCAAAGTGATGGTAGCCAAACTGACTATTACTATTCGTTGGCATCATAATCGGCACTTGCTGTTGTTGTTGACTAACGTTATGAAACTGATGTTTAAGGCCACTATGATTTATACTTGCAACTGAAGATCTTAGGTTCGATTCACATTGTAACCACTTTTGAATTTGTCTCCTATGTATATTATATTTTCTGGCAGTTGCCCGCTGATTACCCTTGCAATCACTATCTTTTCGATATGATTCTAATACTTGAAGCTTGAAATGAGGTGTAAATATTCGGCGAGATCCCATTTTCGAATTATTTGTGAGGTTGTTCGCACCGCCATTACTTGCCATATTTGTTATTGTATGTGTGATTTGTAAAATATTTATTGCTGCTGTTGGCACTTGTGTATTATTTGACTTAGATATCATTATATAAAAATCATTAATAATTTTTAAACAGTTTTTATCATCCAAAAATACAATGTTTGGACATCCAAAATTAAATTATACCGCTCAATAAGCTTTTGTTGTTCTCAAAAATTACTATATTCCCGTGTGCAATAATGCGCCTTCCTATGATACACGTTCGATTGCGCCGTTTCTTCTTTCCACACTAAACGATTAGCAGCAAAATTGCTCTAGCATTTGCCAGACATTCTGGCTCGGTTCATCTTCTATGTATTTGTAACTACATGGCGCTTATATATACATACACACATTCATAAAGTATAGCGGACGGAACAAGTGAACGATGCAAGCAAGCATTTGTCGTTCTAACCAATACAAAGCCAAATCAACTGTTGCTTTAGTTCAAATACGTACAAATGAATGTGTATATGTAGATAGTGTACACTGTACATTGTATAGTCAGAACGTGTTTTCCCAATTCCGTACAGTACTTATGTGTTTAGTATCTGTGAGTCATGACAGTATGTGTGTAGGTGAACGTGTCCAGTGTTGTATTTTAAAGGCAGCGAAAGAATTAATTTTTCAAAGAACTCACTGAATAGCAAGCTATAAACATATGCATATACATCCATACATATGTACATAATATATCGGTAAATTAGTATATAATATATTACAGTACAAATATGTTATAGATGTATACATGTAGGTATAATGTAGATTTATATTCGAGTATCTTCCGCCGGTTCATATGTACACACATACTTATGCCTAGGTAACCATAAATATTATACTAATTCTAATATAATAACTATACATGCCCATATACATATATGTACATACATATGTTTAGAACGTATATGTAAATATATAATGTGTATCTAAAAGTATATGTATATGTGTACATACTATTGTATATATATTCTTATAGCTTGAATTTAACTTGTCCATCCTTAAATTTAAAAAGTGCATAAATATTTTATGAATGCGAAATTAAAAAATACTACAGTTTGAAGCGTATTATATCAAAAAGAAAATATTGTCACCAAGGCGAAAAGTTGCAGGTTGCAACATCAGCGGGTTTTTCTACGCCGTATATACACTTGTGCTCATATAATTAAGTCACGCGTATGTAAGAAGTTGCATGAGTACATATGTATGTATGTATGTAAGTATGTCTATTCACACATTCCTTATATTCATATAATACAAATACATACATTTAAATATTTGGAACAATATTTATCCATGCTATGTACTATATATATAAAAAAAAAACTTGGTCAAAATTCGTAGGCTTAATTAAATTTTATTTTTATTTATTTATTTGTAACAACTACCAGCAGAATTTGGTACCTCTAATTTAGACACACAGTATGTACATATGTTTATATGCTAATATTCGAACTTTAGGGCTTATGTTTAACTTTGTCGAAGCGGTTCACTGTCCCCCAATTCAGAACTAAATTTTATTTAAAGAAAATATAATTTTGGAATTGTAAGGTAATTCTTCTCAAAAGTCTGTCTTTAAATATGAAGTATGCAACATGTTCCAAAAAAATTAAAATTATAATAATACCAATAATTATGTTATATAAGTATATGTTATACATACATATTACTTGCGATATATTTTTGTACATACTCTATATTTGGAACAATCTAATAATGTTAAAAATGAATAATAATTGAGATAACGTTTATAGCCAAGTTCAAATTTTGCCATGATTATTAATTTTTAAAAATTTTAAGTTGCTGTCTTAAAACGAGGTCCGTAAACAATATACATATGTATGCATTAATACATTATATTATATCGCTGGTGATATGATCTTCGGACAATGTGAGCCCAAGTTAAGTATTATTTTATGAACAGATGTCTAAAATGCAAAACTAAATGCCAAATAATTTAATTTATTTCTTCATTTGTCTAAAAAAGCGAAATTCGCATGCATATAAACGTGCACTGTATTCCCATTAATGCATATGAAACCATTGGTATTTAATTTATAATTTTCGCACTAAAGTTTATGATACATGTAAATATAATGCATATAGATATATATATATATGTTTATACATACTTATTTATGTATGTATATGTATGAATTTATGTAAAGTGCAAATTTATAAACTGAACTGTTTAACTGCTTATAAATGTACATTCATACATACATATGTATACAATTTATACTGGGACAAATAGCTACACATATATACATATATGTTAGTAAAATTTGTATAAATACTTATATTCATAATTGTGTGGGTACTTACTTATTTTATACCAACGACACAAAAACGCCTACATGCTAACATTCAAGTAATATACCCGAAAACACAAACGAACTCATATGCTTTAGCACATACCTACGCAACATACATAAATATGCACACATGCCCATGTCCATACGTAAGCGTCTATCTGTGCTTCTGAATGTGCAAGTAGCGTATTACGAGTGTTCTTTCTGTTTCAAACAGGTTTTCCAACCATATCGAACTAAGCGTACACTGTTGTCATGTTTCATCCACGGTGCTGAGGTAACGGCCGCTATGATTCGTTCCCTACGTTGTTAAATTGTATTAAAAAGGCAAACAAATCAATTCCTCGATGAAAATACATGCACGTTGCTAGTTTCTTTTTATCACATCATTCTTGTTTCAGACACTGAGCATTTACAGATAAACTTGTTTTCGTGTTTCGCGGCGGCGTTTGCTTGTACACATATTCACTTCTACACATGCACACACAAACGGGTACGTGTTCATTCAAATACTTGTAATGGTATGTGTAGGCAAGTGCCAATGAGCACTGCTGTGTAAAGAAACTCGTATTTTCAATTGTAGCTCCACGAAAATGTGGCAACAACGCTTGATCGGAGCAGACAGAATGTCGCCAGCTCTGGCGGTTATGCCAGACACTTAGTCGGGTCTTGTTTTCCCCTCTTTGGTGCAAACAACAAAAATCTTTGTACAAACACCCGAACGTTCATGCGTGTATACACACATAAGTGAATTTACATTTAAAGTCATTTGAATTTAGATATGTACATAGTTATTTACTTACATATATACATGTATTTGCTTGGGTATGTGCTTAAGTAGATGTATTCGCATATGCACAAATTAATGTGGATGCATGCTCGTATTTATGTATGCATCTACCATAATAAGTGTAAATATTCTATGAATATGTGCAATATGTGGGCATATACTTATATCATATTTTAATATATGTACATACATATGTATGTACCATATAATTACATATGTATATTATTCGCCGGTAATTGATATACATATCTACATTAATATGTACGTAGTATGCATGTACATATGGGCAAGGAATAATATAAGTAAATATATTCTTAAATATTTATGTACATTTATATATATGTATGTATATACTAACAGCCAAAGGTGGGTGTTTTAAAAGATAACACTAACAGAATTTGATTTGTTGTTGTTGTTATAGCGGCAGAATTCTGCCGAGTTGACAATCCTTGGCCGGTTACGTAGGATCGACTGTCGTGATTTGTAGGTATTATTATTACATTTCTATGTAAATACACATGTATGTTCATATGATGGGCAAAAGGTGAAATATTAGTGGAATCAGTTGATCATAATACATTTACATGCAACAAAATCGAATTATTTTTATTGTTTGATCGAAATTAACTTATACTAAATTAGACTACCAATTGGAGCGTTGTATGTTTCACTACTGGCAAGCGAAATTCTTCTAATAGTTTGTGATTACTATTATTGTCAAATGTCTAAATGTTTTTCGAACTTGTAAAAGGTTATCAACACATTCTTTAGCTGATCGAAAACAAATTAAAACATATATATAGGACAATATCAAGTCGCACACTACATGGAAACTATTTGGAAAAGCAGGCAACCGGCAGGTAAATACCTTTTTTAATAGTTAGACTTAGTTTTTAACAACATAATTAAATGTTTTCAGTTTTATATTTTTATAATACTGAAGGTGAATGTATCTTCAATCTATTTAAGGTACAAAATCAAAACATATACGTAAAAAACATGCAACAAACATACTTGTATATATGGCCATACATATGTCGAAAATCACGTAGATGATGTGTTGTTAATTGAATTAAGTTCTCCAGATTGTTATAAATTGGAGGTATTCTGATTCACTCCTAATTGATTAAGTCGGTTTGGTTTGTTGGGCTCATTTTAGATTAGAGGTTAATGTCGGTCCTAAGGGACGGCGTGTTGATACATTTTTAGCAATTGTACATGACCCTGGTATTACCGACGATTACCACCGCCGTTAGAAAAGACACATCCTTAAAGCAGCTCTATTCTTGTAGAGCTTTGTTCGGTTTTTTCCCCACTTCGCTTGGTACATCGAGGTCCGTCCCAATACTCTGCTGTCTTGAGCAGTCGAAAAGATTATGCGCTTTTTAATATTCAGAGTAGGGAGCAAAGGTTTCTTCATTACTTTTTTCGATTAGTATTCAAGGTTTTTTGGTACTTTCTGATTACATACCTCCTCCTTACATACTTTTTTGTTTAAAATTCCTTCATTGTAGTTAAAGGGTTAGGTGTAGTCAAAGACAGGAAATAATTACAAATTTAAATATATATATACCAGTAAATTATTTTATTTTATAAAATCATAAACACAGCTACATTAAATACATACATAATACTAGACTTGACATAAATTTGAAAAAGAAAATTATTAATTTTAAAAGTAATAGTGGCTTGTGTTCATCAAGTTCCATCTTAGATCAATCGGACAAAAAAATTAGTTTTAAAAATAAATCATCTAGTTCTTGATCGAAGATTTTCTTTTGAATGACATGTAACATTTTTCCCAGATTTTCGGGAAAAACCAACAGTTAATTGTTTATAAAAAATCGATGTTAAAATAATTCTTCAATCACTAATACTTCTAAGATATTGAAGTATAAGAAAATGCTTCCCATGCATTTTAAAAGAAGTAAAGGCACTGCACCAAACATGTCGCCGAAAACTTTTTCGTTACATATTACGCAGTCTTGTTTCGCATTTCGACTTGTGTTAGCATTTTTAATTGACATTGCCATTTTGTTGTTTTTTTTAGGTTTATGCTTGTTTGAAATTTTAATGTCTTAAATAGATTTAAGATACATTTGTATATATGTAGTATTGCGAAAAAATAAAACTGAAAACATTTATTTCTGTTATTAAAAACTATGCCTGAATTTAATTTTTATAATCTAATAATCAACATATTGCTACGGCACTAATCGAGAAAGATATAGTTATATACAGTGGATGCCACCTAAACTTAATGCCACCTAAACTCATTTATCAAATAATGTTTCCAAATTTATGCAAAGCCCGTCGAGTTATATGAGCCACTTATTTAAATAAATGAATACACATAAAATAATCAAAATTTTCTTTGAAATGATAACTTTGCGGGATAAACAATTTGATTTACAACCGATTTTAACTTACCAGGAACGGATTCCACCAATTTTTTTTTGTATAGTCAAGAGCATTTTTTCTCACTTCTTCATAAGGTCAGTGTTGATGTTTTATATTGCGCGCTTCCGAAGACTTTAGGACAATTACACAATAACCATTATTCAACGACATCGGCGGAATGCTTAGAATGATTTTTTTGCACAGAATTTTTATGAAATTGTATCTCAAAGATGTAAGTATAATTTTATGCACATATGTATATATAATTTAATGTTCATCGATAAAGATTTGGAACACTTACATAGATGTCGATGTAATTTGACTTTTTGGAGAATCCAATGCTCCACACGTCCACTCAGCAATTTGTTTCCTTTTTCTTAATTATACTGCTGCGTGATCTTGTACTTGTAATAGTAGTATATCTTTGACTTTTTATTACATTTCGTATTTCGTTTGAGAAGCAATTTTACAAAAATGCGCAATACCTTAAAGTTTTAAATTCGCCCACAGAACTAATAAGTCGATCTCATGGAAAACACGTCCAAACTAAGCATTTCATAAATTACCGTTATCTGGGTTTCTTTTAATGAGTGAGTTTGTTTGAGTGGAGCGTAATTTTTTTTTTCTTGTAAATTTTGAAAACATACCTAACTCACATAATAATATAATAATTTTTGTTTTCAGTATTGGTCACTCAATAAGGTTTGATAAAAATAATAAAAATTCAAAATAAATAATTAAGACCTGATGTTATAAGATGTTTTATAAAGTTATCACAGGTTGATCGTTTTAAGTGGCACCCACTGTATATATAAACAGATTATTATCTCTAAAATGAAATAAATAAATTCGTTTTGCAGAAAAAAAAGAATTTTACACAATTTATGAAAATATGCTGAAAGAAACAGCTTACATACAAATTCAGTTTTGTCTTTATCCGAGTGCTGTATTGATGAGGATATCAATGTCATTATGTCCGGTGATAAGAAAAAAATTAGAACGCATTTAAGCCTCTCTTCGGTGCTGGCACGTGCTTGTGCAAACCATTCCCAAACATCACTAAGACTGGCCATGCGAATATGAAGTTATTTGCTTTTTTTTATTTTGGATGGGTTGTGGTTCAAGTTATCGAATTGCAGCAACGTTTATGGATTTTAGCCACTTCATAGCGAGGAATATGTATTATAGTTACATACATACATATGTACAGCTGTGTTCACAAAAATAGCAGTGCGATAAATGCAATCAAGTAATGTTATTTTTTTTCAAGTTCCGTTACGATTATTCCAACGTCTACGCATTGTTGTTGTAGAATGGTATGTGTATAAGGAAGAAACGAAAAAATCCCGTTAGATTTGCGAGATTTAAGCAAATGAACAACTCTTTTTGCTAGAAGCACCAGTCTTTGGCTGTTCATTAAAATAGCAGTGCATATCTTGATAAGCCAAAAAAATTTTGTTAAGACGTTTAATTGATAAAAAGTAAGTGGTTTTGTATTAGTGACTATTATTAACATTAGAAAACACTAAAATAAATTTATATTTTTTAACTTAGTGGGCAGGGGCAAACATTGTACTTGTGAAAAAAGAAATATTATAGTGCAACTAAGAAACCTGGGAAAAACATATAAAGACATCCAAGAAATATGTGGATGTTCTGCTAAAATGATTCATAATGCTTTAAACTTTAAAGAAATGCCCAAAAATCGTGGTATCCAACGTAAAACCACGCCACATGCGGACCGATCTATTGTGCGATATAGCAGGGCGCAGCCTTTTGTATCGTCCAGCAAGATAAAAAATGACTTAAGCTTGAATGTTAGTGGTGTACTATTCGGCGACGTCTTAAAGAACAAAATCTCAAAGCGTCCTATCCACGAAAAGTTCTACTGTTAGCCACCAGACATGTCAAAGCACGTTTGGAGTTCGCCAAAAGTCACCTTAATTGGCCCATTACAAAGTGGCGAAATATTTTATGGAGTGACGAAAGTAAAATTGTGTTATTTGGTGGAAAGGGCTCTAGACAATATGTCAGACGTCCACCTAACACAGAGTACGATCCTAGGTACACTTTGAAGACAGTTAAACACGGCGAATTGAGTATTATGGTATGGGTATGTTTTTCTTACAGTGGAGTGGGCCCTATATTCATGATTGATGGGATCATGGATCGATCTGTATATGTTAACATATTAGAAAATGTTATGTTTCCTTATGCCAATTGGGAAATGCCACTAAAATGGACGTTTCAACAAGATAACGACCCCAAACATACAAGCAAACTGGTCAAAAGCTGGATGGCATCAAAGCGGATCGATCTTATGTCATGGCCTGCGCAGTCTCCGGATTTAAATCCAATTGAAAACCTATGGGGAGTTGTTAAACGATATGTTGCAAATGCAAATCCAACATCTCGATCACAGCTTTGGGAGGTTGTTCAAAAGGTGGATTCTATGTCTCGCAGACGCCAGGCCGTAATAAAAAATAATGGGTACACGACTAAGTACTAATCCAAGCAAACAAAATAAAATAGTTTTTTGGAGTTCAACAATGTTTTTTTCACCTAATTCCACTGATTTCATTACTCACTGCTATTTTTATGAACAGCTGTAAACATCACTTTTTGGTTTAAATTAATAATGTAAAAAAAATTAACAACATTTCGAATAATAAATTGACTTGTTTTTGTTTAAAATAATCACAAAGTTAAAACAAAATTAAATTTGTGAACATTCATTTACTTTTTGATATATAAAATTAAGTTTAAAGTTGCAGCTCATGAGCACTGCTATTTTTATGAACACAGCTGTATGTACATGAAATCTTAGTGTAACTTTTGAAACATGACTAGTCATTAACAATAAGAATTTTTATTTAATCGAAGTGCAAGCAGTTGCAGATAGTGATGCGGGATCGGTGTATAACACTCTTGTTTGCTTCAGCAGCGCTCTATATGCAAAAGATATTATCCACTGAATGGACACTACTATTGTGGTGATAAAGAATACTCGTCTCAAATTTCACTAGCACCTATAATCACGCCTTTTTAGGAGGAACGGAGCGATGTTCAATAGTGTACACATGGTAGGAAGAATTATTGTAGAAAAATGTTTTGGTAGATTAAAGTCAAGTTGGAGAAATATACTCGTATTTAACAGAGATTTAGAACTAGACATATAAACTTGTATTAAAACCATTTTTATGCATTTATGGTACACAACATTTGTGTAATGCAGGAAGACTTTCATCCTGTAATTACCTTAATTCAAGACTACGTTAATTATTTAAGCAATGGAAGTGTAACAGTTATGAGTAAGTGTACAAGAAATCAAGTTTAATAATTATTTATCAATTTATATTTTTTCCTTACAAAATAATCGTTATATTTTCATAACTTTTATTTATTGCTCACAGAATAATAGTTATGCGGTGAGTTCTATTTAACTTTAACGCAATAAGAATGGAAGAGTGATGCGGAAAACACAATTGCGACAGGCAACGGATAGCGCCCGCTGTCAAAATTAGAACGCATTTGGGAGGAAATTGGAAAAGTTTTAAATGAAAGTTGTAAGTTGAATTGCATTCGCAAAATATTTTAGTTCTTATTAATTTTGTGTTGTAAAACATATTTAGCAGATATTTGTAGAAAACGGGGACAGAAGTGGAAGCTCCAAGAAACATTATACTTCTTGGATGACTGTAAAGGTTCGAGGCCGTTAGTATTGCTGTTACTAGTTTATTTAATATAAATAAGATTTTAAACAAAGCTTTTTTATCTCTTTGTTAAGAACTGTCGGATGCGGTGAAATACAAGAATAATCAATTTTCGGGGAAAATATAGAGGATATGGAAAGCATGTCACCAAAAAATTTTAACTTGATTGATCCCAACTCTCCACCTTCATGCTCTTTGTTCAAAAGAAAGTTTTTTTCTCTTAGTAAACACTAAAAATAGTGATTTAAAATTGTTCAATATATTTTACAGATACACCCTCCAATGGAAGGTCAACTAAGCGGCGGGACGATGCTGAACTCAAGGCTGGTTTTACTAAAGCAATGTATTTGTGCGTTGCCTCCATATCTGAGCTTACCAAACCAGTATTAAAAAATTCAACGCTCACACTTTTTGAAACTTTTGCGCAAAAAATAATAGATGCTAACTTACCCCAAGCCGATATAAACAGAATAGAAGCTTGAATAATGTTTGTACAATACGAAGAAACAGCTACCTGCTATAATTAATAACATTGATCACACGGTTGTCACGGAAAAGCAGTTATGAAAAAATACTTTTGTTAGTTTTCATTAGTGTATATATTCAATTTAACCGATCTCGTCAGATACTGACTTTAAATATTTATCTCTAAAAACCATAATATATTCTATTCAAACGATCACGTCAGTACTGACTTTAAATATTTATCTTTAAAAAACTATTAAATATTTATCTTTTTAAAAAACCATAATATATTCTATTTAAACGATCACGTCAGTACTGACTTTAAATATTTATCTCATTATATATTCTACTTAAACGATCTCGTCAGATACTGACTTTAAATATTTATATTTAAAAAAATGTATATATTATATTTAAACGATCTCTTCGGAAACTAAATTTAAATATTTATCTTAAAAAAACCATTATATATTCTATTTAAACGATCTCGTCAGATACTAAATTTAAATATTTATCTTAAAACAAACCATTATATATTCTATTTAAACGATCTCGTCAGATACTGACTTTAAATAATTATCTTTAAAAAACCATAATATATTCTATCCAAACGATCACGTCAGTACTGACTTTAAATATTTTTCTTTAAAAAACCATTATATATTTTACTTAAATGATCTCGTCAGATACTGACTTTAAATATTTATCTCTAAAAAATCATTATAGATCTCATTTATGAATTAATAAAGGTGAATTTTATACCAGAAACAATGAAAACCAATTAATTATTTTCTTTTTTATTCATTTATTGATATATTGTAAGTATGCTAGTTTAATATACTCATGTATTAAATTGCCTTATTGATAAATTAAGATACAAACGTACTTTATTTTTATATTCAGTTGTTTCTTCTTATAATACAAATTTACAGTACAAATAAATCTTACCTACGTACAAACTTGGTATAATAATGTGTTTGTTGTTTGTTTTACATGTTAATTGCTGCAGTCTCGTGATAATTTTCTGTTGTCAAGCATTAAGTAATTGTGAAGCACAATTGTGTGTAGAACTCGCCATCTGCTCGCTAAAATTCTAAATGCATTTTCAATATGCATTTAGAATTTTTTGTTGTAGTTATCTTTTACAGTTGCTAAGATCCGACCAGGATATGTTATGGACGCATTAGGTTGTGCTTTAATGGAAAAAGACTACCCCTAACATTAAAATATGAAATTAAATACAATATACAAATACATGTACATATGTATGTGTTAACGAAAACTATATTTACCAAGAATTTGGTTGTCTGGCGGAATATTAATTAAATATTTTTTTGTAGTTATACAATAGTATAGAGATCCGCTGCGTGGCGGACAAACAATTTTTATATGATTGCCATCAACCGTCTCTACTTAATCCTGCATTTCAGTTTTTACGTAAAATCTTAAGAAACAAAGCGAAAGATTTAGTTTTAAGACAGAAGTGTGTGTAGATGGACAATACCAACCTGTCTGCTATTTTTTCCATTCATGTAGGTTAGGTTGAGCAACGTATATGTCATGTTCGGTCTAAAAGGGGTCACAAGTGTCGTAAATTATTTTTCGTACCGTTCATATACCTAATTTATGGGTCTAGGAAATTTAGTTTACTCAATGCTTTGTACTCCTGAAGAGAATCACTCACATCAATGTCAGTGCCAAGGGATTTTCTTCTTTTATTGCCGCTCTTCGTGAAAAACGCTGGAGCCTTTCCTTAATAAAGACCAAAAGTGTGTGAAATTTGGGAACGCTCATCCCTGTGCCTTCAAAAAAGTGCTCTTGGTCTATCATCAGGAGTGGCTGAAATTCAATTGCGTGGAATTTATCACCGGCTGACCCTTCGCAATTGTGCTTAAGGCATAAGCTTTTGGTTTTGACTTGACAAATAATAACTTAGCGTGAAAGAATTATTTGTCAAGGCAAAAAATAAAGCTTACTTTTCAATTCTTATTACGTAAGAGTTAGATAAAACTCACCGCATAACTATTATTAAGTGAGCAATAAAAAAAAGTTTTGAAATAACTCTTATTTTGTAAGCGAAAAATAAAAAGCAAAATATAACGATTATTTTGTAAGGAAAATTAAAAAAAAGCAAACTTTAAAAGTTTTTAATATATTATATTTGTGTAGTCCTCACAAAAACAAAAATTTTCTATTTCTACATCATATATATCCGACCCTTCCTTCATAATGATTTTTTTTAGTCAAAAATTAAACAGTAACAGTTATTTTCTGTCCCTGGAAAATTTAGTTCTTGACTTAAAAGAAGGAGAGCAAATATTTTCATCTTTTCTGCAAAACGAAAACTCAACCTTCTGAAATTTAAAAGGTTTTTTAACCAAAACTTTAATTTAAAAGATAACAATATATTTATTGATGTCAAGAAATTTTAATTGTTTTGTTCAGAGTCCAAAACAAAAAATGGTTTTTTAATGTTCCAAAAAGAATATCAAATTTTTACAGTTAAAATTGCGAACAAAATCATTAAAATTTGTTTTGCGTTGTGAAAATTATAAAATAGACCACAAAGAAATCTCTTTCTATTTCTCATGGTAATATTAGGTGAACTCAAAAACATACATTAATTCTAGATTTCTATATGTTATCAAATTTCAAACTATATATTTGTATTAAATTGTTTATGAATTATTTCAGTATATTGATTATATTCACCCAAGAGTGTGGATCTCTGTGATCTGAATGACGTTATGTCTTGTAGTTAGTAGCACTAAAAATCGAGCGTACAAGTATATAAGGACATCATCCCTTTTGCTCTCATTGTTTGCACAGCTGTTCTTTTAAAATTGTCTGATTTCAAAGTTTTTAATTTTCTTAGTTTGGAAACCATACATAGCCGTCATAAATTTGATTTTCACTAAACCAAACATATTGTATGATTTTGAGAAAAAAAAAATTAATACTTGTATATTATTACGGCTTTTAACTCCGCTCCGTTGAGTTGAAATTAAAGCAATTTAACTTCAGATCAACTAATCTTGACTACTGATCTTTTTAGTACCAACTTCAAATTTATTGTCAATTAAAATATAATTGGTGTTGACAAGCTAAAAACTTAAAATAGGTAAATGAAAAATCAAAACAATTCAATTCAGTTATTGATTGTGAAAACGTAAAAATTATTAATATGGACATTAGTTTGGATTTATATTACGATGAAAAAATGGTGAGATCAAAACTGATGTGCTGCTCATACGAAAAAGCATTCGTAATCATTCAAATCCATAGGAACTTCCTAACACCAATGTTTCATTGACAACTAAATGGCTTTTAAATCTTGTTTGTTGCATATTCATTAGTTATGGCACAGAGTTGAAAACCGCAATACCAGAAAATAGTTGAAGATTGACAATATTTCAACCGAAAATTTTTTGACTGAATGAGTTGATATTGATGATACCGAATTAGGGGTTTTAATTGCGGTTATAATATATCTTTCCGTAAAGATTGGTTGTTATACCTGATTATAACTATTTTTTTGCAATCGGATTTTTTGAAACGAATACCCCTTACACGGTTTGCAAATCTGCTTACTTGAATTGAAGTTAAAGTACGAACTACAATTAATTTCAGTCAAAATGGCATTAGTCGATGGCAAGCGGGTCCTCATATTCAGTATACCAGGTTTAAAAAAGATTTTAAAGCCCCTATTTGTGCCATTTATTTCAATATCTACATGGAGCTCAACGTATAAATTATATATACATATATTATAAAGTGAAAGGTGCTGCTGAAGTTTGAAAAAGTGCCATATCTAATAAGTATAAGTATAATTAAGTATATTTTTAATTTACGAAACTGGTTCTAATTGGCGGCGTAGTTACTAATAAATACTGGACGGTGCCATAGTTATTGTCTAATTTTTATAAAGATTTAGATACAAACTTGCTGAACTAACTTTATGGTTAAATTTAACTGACGTTTTTAGAACTTTATTTGTTTTGAACATAATATACCCAATCTCACACTGTATCCTGAAATGTCAAAAACAAATGGTTCCATTAACTTTGTTTGATATGGGTTCATTAGTTTGTGGGGCATATCCATTAAAATTATTATTGACGAGGGCACACTTTAGAACATCTATTATGATCCTCTATATCAAATTCAAATATCATATTAATAATTTCGTATTAATAACATTTCCTCAACTGCTCATATTTTTGGCAGTTAATGGGCGAATACTGCTGGTGGAAATTTGCTCTTGTAAGATATAAGTAAAATATAGATAGAAAGTTACTCATTTCTCATTCATCTTTATACATTTGCAATTTCAAATTTTATATTTAGAAATTTTTGATTTGTTTGGTTTTGCTTTTTGTGGATATGTCGTCATGAATATAAAACATTTTATATGTAAATATTTAATGTGTGTAAATGTATTTTTTTGTTTTATTGTTCCCAAGTAACGAGTTCTACAAAGTAAACATAATAAATTATAGTTTGAAAAACTAAAAAAAAAACGCTTTAAAGGAATTTTTAAGCTTTTCCCTACCGTCTTGTTTGTGAAAATTAATGCTTATGGCGTATTTATTTTGTCAGTTATCACACTTTTAGTATATTTTAACATAACTTTTATATGGGAAGTGGGCGTGGTTATTATCTGATTTTGCCCATTACACAGCCTATGAAAAAGGACTTCCTCTCAGCAAATTTGGTTGAGTTAGCTTTAGCCGTTTGGAAGATATATACATTAAACCATTTTGGGGCGGGGTTACGACCACCTTTAAGGTAATGGGAAACTGTATTGCATTGTCATCGGTCCTTGACACGTCTGCAAAGTTTCAAGTTGGTCAGACTTCTGGAAACCGATAAATATTGAGCTCTAAGATTCCATTACATACGTACAACCCAAGCTAATAAAAACGTATTAAAAATTAAGAAGAGCAAAAAGCAAAACAGGTAAAAACATTCACAGCTTTAAAAATTAATAAATTTTTGTTAAATAAATAAAATAAGTAATATAATATTATATATATATAAGTGTAACTTTCATAATTACTGTAATTTTAACCGCAAAGAATAGGTTCATACAATTTGTCGTTACACGATCAAGAAATTGCTTTCAAGTTGCAACACACTCACACTTTTCTCACTTTCGAACTAAAACGCCGTCTTGATATCAATTCCTCGACTCAAGCCGTGGGGCAACTTGACGATCAAGTTAGAACAGCATAGTTTTGCAAACAAATGACATGTAATTGTCGGTAATATGAATATTTCTTTTATATTAATGGATTAATATAAATATAGATTAATCAATTCTAGAAATTAAAATGTTCGTGTCTCTCAAATAGCTTATAGTGCAGTACAACTATATATATATTCTAAAGTTGCTTTCATACAACGACAAGGGCTTTCTCAACTCATCTCTCTCTTCCCATTCCATTTTTGTACTAAATTATTAATTTCGTGAAACTTTCAAGAATTTTATGTGGTTTCCACTACGTCGGTATCTTGAAACTATTATTGATTATATAGTTGATTGCAGTTTACGTTACCGCTGTCATTTTAAATAAATTTTGACAATTCGTTTGTTGAATCAATTTTGCAAGCAAGTTCTTGATCGCGTAAGTGCTATAAACACGAAACGCCAAACTGCTATACCAAAACATTTAATAATAAAAGGTCAGTTATGCATACATAGCACAGCACTGTTAAGGCCCTGTTATGCATAGAAAGCATAGCACTGCCATACATGAAAACTGTCACATAAAGAATCTATTTAATAGTTTTTGCCATATAGGTGCTCACCAATAATTTCACCGCGCATAGAAATTCAGTTGTTTTTTAATGTTTGTGAGAGCACACAAATGTGAAATATCATAAATGAAAATGCCAATTTGAAGTGCAGTGTTACCCACTTGGTGTTTTCGTCCTAAATTTAGAAGTTAAAAGAGTCGAATGGGATTTTTACGGGAGAAAATAGGTCACAAACAACGTTCACAAATTTTTTGGCAACTGTCATCTTCTTACGCTCTGACAATTTTAAATATTTCTATTGTTTTCCAATCTTTTTGAAAACGACAACGTTGAACCTGCTAGGCTATTGGAAGATCTATTTTCGTTACACAAAAATATGTAGCACCGACTTGTTGTACCATGTTACTTAGAGAAATTGGTGGATTCCAAAAACCATCTGATGCACACAGCTTCAATGTACTTTGGATTTGATTTTCACGATATGGCACATAAACTTGCGCCCAAAGACTGTTAGAAAAATGTAAGAATTTGTTGTTTAGCAGAGCAGATTCGAAAAAGGTACGATACTTGAAGTCATCTGTCCCTGCATTCGGTAATCAAATACATGCAAAACGTGTTAAACAGATTCTTTATGGACAGTTCTAATGTATGGCAGTGCTATTCTATGTATGCATAACTTGGTCTTAAGAGGGCACTCCATTGCAGAATTGTAGTAACTTCTAATAAAACTGTGAATTTGAAGTGATAAATTTTGACGAATGAAATAACAAATACAAATTGAGCAACAGTTTAACGAATATGTCTTTTTTAATGCACATACTTCCGAAAAACTAATAAGATTGTGTGGTTTTATGAAACCACGATGAAAGTTACACTTTTTACAGATTGCAGATATTCACATTTTTGGAAAAATCATTAAACTTAGGTTGTTAAAATTGAGTCGTAAATACTATCTTAAAATTATGATAAAAGCAGTAAGTAAAGCAGATTCCTCTTTTTTAAAATCTGTTTTAAAATTTTATACTTTTGCAACATGTACAACAGAGTATTATAGTTTTGTTCACCTAACGGTTGTTTGTATCACCTGAAACTAATCGAGTTAAATATAGAGTTATATGTATAAATAATTAGGATGAAGAGACGAGTTGAAAAGACTGTCTGTCCGTACGTCCCTCCGTCTGTCCGTGTGCAAGCTGTAACTTGAGTAAAAATTGTGATATCTTTATGAGCCTTGGTACACATGTTTCTTGGTACCGTTAGACGGTTGGTATTGCAGATGGGCGTAGTCCGACCCCTGTCACGCTCCACAATAAGATCCAAGACTATTTGGTATAACGAATCGCATTAAGGAGGGGCATCTGAAGTTTAAGGATTTTTCGAAAAATGGGTGTGGCCCCGCCCTCTAATAGGTTTAATGTGCATCAATCAAGACAAATCTTTTTAGCACCTCAACCGACAGTGTCAAAATGGGTGAAATAAGGTGTATTAAGCTTTATCGGGGCCAATACAAAAATTGGACAATGGGCAATGCACTGCGCCCTTTAGGTGAAAACGCATGTCTCGGGGTCTACTTGACCGATTTCAACCAAATTTTGCAAGTAATATTATTGTGTCATGCTTATGTTTCAGTGCAATTACAATCACACCTGACACAAATTTAAATTTCATCTGTTTTTTTACTTTCAGGTATACAAATAAAGCGCTAATGAATATGTTTCTAATATGTGAGTTATCTTAATAAAATGATGGGAACAACCCGGTTCTAATAACGGCACATCTGTGTGCCTAAAGTGGAGAAAATCGGGTGAAAGTTGCCCTAGCCACCATATAACTTATATCAGGATTTTGAAACATCCGGATTACTTTACTTTTCTGTTGTTGTGGTAATGGATGATGAATTAAACTCAGAGAGCATTTTTACCGTTAGCAATATGTAGTAATGCCAAAAATAGGTCAAATGGAGTCAATACTACCCCTATCTCCATATGTACATGAAATTATTTTTTCTATTTTTACAAAACTTATACCGAATATGTCGGTCAGTGTGTGAGTTATTTATTAACAAAATTGCTTGAAAGCGTGATCTCGAGTAAGCCTTAACATGATTAATGCATTAAGCTCAGACCTTCCTCTGTCACCAATATACCCTGTATAGTGATTTCCTACTTTCCATCTGACTTTAAACCGTTTAGGTTAATCAAAATGTGTGATTTTTTAATGAAATTAAGTGAACAAGTTTTCTTAGAAATTATTAACTTATATTAATGACTTGGAGCAGAATATGTAAGGATTTGGTGTAAACCTTGGCTAAACCTCATATCCCTAATAAAATGATTTCCCATCCTCTGGTTTGATGAACGTCTCAATATATTAAGTTTATATTCTCCGGTGGAGTTTATATCACATATATCACATTTGAAGATGTTTTTAGTATAATTTTTGCTGACGCGAAGTAAAATATAACAATAAAACTGAGTAAGTCTATGACCTATAATATAACTTAATAAAATACCAAATTTGATTGTAATCCATTCACCGAATATAGAATATTGAATTCTTTCGCAATATTTTACTTACAAGTTGCAAGAGTATAAAATGTTGAATGAACTTAGCCCTTCCTTACTTATTTGATTTACTTTAATATGAATTGATGCACTTATAAGGTTTTTGTTATCAAGTTAATGAAGAACAGCAGATTTGGAATCAGTTGCTTAACTAATACTGATGTTATTTATGTAAGATTGCATTTACGATCGAACTCTAAATGAATTACATTGGGTTACAGTGGTTTCAATTTTGGATATATTTGTGCCGACAGTTTATGAAACTATATCTGGTTTTGTAAGATTTGGTCTCGATTATTTTTAATTCTTTATTTCCATTTTACACTATAAAAATCAGAAAACTTGAAAGCAAATAACATATCTATTTATTATGTCAGAAAATTTAAGGATACATTTAAGTAAAAAGGCCTTTTATGAGCTTTTCTTTTATAATTTTCATGGTGGCATTATTTTTTTACGGACCAGCAGTAATCTGCCATCATATGACGATCGCAACAACTTTTTTTTCATTATTCATCACTTTTAGATCCTGGTTGAATCTCTCTCTCTGTTTCTCACTCCAATTTCATAATTATCCGAAAATGTATCCATATGATTACGGAGATAGTTTAAGTTGGTACTGAAATTTGCTCCTAGAATCTGACAGTTTATTTCAAACAATTTCATTAAAATTCGATACTAAATGGTTAACGGGGAAATTTTCGACTATCAACAGAAACATTTTTTACGATTCATAGTCATAACTTTGATAAACTCTGTATCTCTCATTTTTGTGCTATACGGAATTTTCCACCTTTTACCATTTCCATACAAAGTTCGAAAATTTTCTATAAATGTCACTAAAACAATATCCTTCCACGTCCAACGCTTTGGCAAAATGTTTTATCATTCCTAACTTAATCACGTATTAAATCACTGAATTCATTTTGAAAAAATACCTTTGGTGTAGATGTTTCACCTTCTTATTCACATCCATTGGTACACTCTACCGATGTCTGGATATTTGACGACATCATTGTTTTCTGTCCATAATTTTCGCATATTTTCGGTAAGGAGCCTGAGAGTGCACGTTATGTTTGTAGGCGCGAAAAAGGAGTGCACAACCCTAATCATGACTGGAAAACTAAATTTTTATCACTAACTACATTCAATATTTTCGTGAACAAGGACTTAATTTGGACACTTGAAAGCATTAAAATTGCTAAGATATCCAGGACAACACAAAACAATTTGGTTTTTGTAGAACCGTGCTATCATACATACATTTTTAATATAAATAGCTACTCCTTCATATTGAGGATTAATCTGCTTTTGTCGATTCACAAATTGAAAATTTGGAAATCTTATCTGTTCAGTATTTCTTGAATTAGTTTCGGATAAAACAAAGAGATTTTGGCAGTATTGTATATTTATCATAATAAATTAGAGATTCAGCTTGAAAAAAATGTGCGAAAAAAACAAATCATTAACCGGGGTATGAACTCAAACATCCTTCGAACTCTGCTTACCACTCGCGCTATATTAGGCGTTGTGATTGCTTAATTGTTGTTTCAATATAGTTAGAAGTATAGAAATATCAATATTCTCATACCTCAGATGCTGAAGTCGAAGCGAAATTTGGTAAAGCGCAGGTAGCTTACAAAGTCACAAACGTGTTAATATTCTTCTTTCCAATCAACTATGCTAAAGTTTCACTTTAAATTAAAAAAAACGAAAGCGAATAAGCGAAAAAAAATTCTTTGACCAGGATTCAGCCATGCGCATTCTCACGTTTGAACCATTAATATTATATGTATTTAGCACTCGCACTATATTAGGTGTTACAAATTTTTAGTTGTTGCAATTTCCATTTTAGTCATATCGTCATCTCTGTTCAATTGTAATTTTTACAACAGATATATTGGACATTAAGCTTCTTTGAGTCTTCCAAATTGCGTGAATATGAAATGTTACACCCGAACTTAGCCTTTCCATAGTTGTTTAATATAGAATTTAGCCACATCAGCGGAGACCTTTGTTCCTTGCAAATTTTTGTATTGATATTTTATTAACTTATACTAAAGATCCTAACTCCTTTATTTTTATTACAACATCTTCATCTCCACCTCGGATTAATCTAATATAATATTAAAATCAATCTAAATAACACAGACTATATTCATCAAATGAGTGCTGCTAGTTTTTACTACCGATTGCCGTAATGATGATTCAAATATTCTCGCTAAATTTGGTTGGGTCATTTGCTATTGAGTTCTATGCGATATAAACCAACACAAAGAAAGAATTTCATTATCCCGAATATGAGGGAAATGCCAATAAGTGAATAGGAAATAATTATATAATCTTTAATTCATATTTAACGCTAAACCATATAGCTGTTAAGAAATCATGTTCACCTAATTTCATTAAACTCAAAATGTCACACATATTGACGAATGTTAATGTTATAGAGTCAACCGGAAAGTCGAAAATCATTATACTAAATTATGCTGTATAACAAGTTTGCATGCAATTTTATTGAGATTATTCACAATTTGACCAATATATTCACCGAAAGACCAGTAGAGTAATGATAACATAGTATAATCAAATTTTACACGAGAAAGTTTTGATTAGCAGACTTCAATGAAACTCGAAATAAAGTATATTTAAGATATTATATAAGGTATGTGTACATTATATATGTCTTAAGTTTTATTTTGAGCAAAATCTACTACTATAAAGAACACAATCAAGGTTATCATGGCCTTATTGCGATTTTGCCCTCTTCAATTATCGCAGTATAAACTTAAATTTGCCAGTTGTTCTTTCGTCCGAAATAAAAAGATAAATAGCTGCTCATATTTCAATTTATCAACGTTGGCCAACTTTTTCCCCCATAGGAAACAAGAGAATTTTCTTGTTCCATTTTCATAAACTCCTGAATTATAATATGCAATCTTCTTACAATAAAATACGTTATATTCACTTTATTCATATATCTTACTTCCAATAACTGGATCATTTCATGCCGCTTACGTTATTTGCGCGTGACTTAATTATAATTGAATCATGTTGTTGTGTTTTCTGCACCGTCAGGGCAAGTTCTTTTATTCACACAAAAACTAAGACTGATCACATATATATATTTTAGTGTTATTTATACTACTTTATGGTACTAGTTTCTATTTGCTATCTGCTATGCTATTTGAAGATAGACACACTATCTACGGTCGATTGTTTGTCGTTACAAACGGTCCCGAGAGGATAGCGTGGAGGAGATAACACTCGTTATGTGTGATACCATTTCTATTTCACACCAAGTGTGCAGCAGATGTTGAGATTTCTTATCACTATTTGTTTATGTGTGGTTCAGCATAAACAAGAGATGTTTTGGTCATTTCTGTTTAATGAAACGTTCCTTAACTCGTGCGCGAAAAAGCTTGTCTGTTGCTTGCTTTGTAATTGTTAAGCCGATATCTCAGTTTTAATACTGAATTGGCTTTTTAAATGTTCGGTGTAGATTCGTTTTTCAACAAAATGTCGTTTACGTTCTTTTTGCGAGAACAGAAAATATAAAAATCCTTATATTAAGTATATGGGGGTGTATAGGGGAAAGATTTACCCTATTTAATTCATTTTGGGCACCACGACACAGTATTATAACGAAAACGATGCTTTCTAAACATCATTAACGTACCTCACAGATTAAAAATCCATTAAAGGTTTATGAGGGCCTCCGGAAGTATTGAAGTGATTGTATCTCCTTGGAGCACTTTTGCTAGGAAAATATTTCCCCTGCGTTTTACTAAAATATCTTATATATTAACCAATGTTTCCGATATAAAGTTAGCCGTAGATCCGCATTCGGTATATGGTCCCATTTTAATGTGAGAGGTTTTACACCTTAAATACACTATGTGCGGTTATTATTAAATTTAATGCTTTTTACATTTTTTAGTGAGTTCACAGACTTTTAGTAGTTTTCAACATTTAGCCTATTTTCACGCTGTATGATCAAGTTTAAAGAGGCTTGATTCCAGCAAATTGTTGCTCTTCTCATTGAAATTTTTTCTATGAACATTGAGTTAATAGCGTAATTTATAGCTTAATTATGGCACGTTATATTTTTTCAAATAACAGCAACTTTTTGAGCGTGGAGTGGTCAGTTAAAAATTTTACTTAAGTTATCGGAGTAAACTTAAGAATAGAAACCGGATAAGGATTATATATGTATATAATAAGCTGCAGCCCCAGACGTTTAGTATTTAACACATTAGTATTTAAAGTTCATAAATTTAACGATTTTAAGTATGTAATTCCTCAATTTAAAATGAAGTTTACACTTACACATATACTAGTATTTTACTAAATTGATTCCCTATATTTATTTAATAATAATTATAAAAAAAATAAACTAATTCAACATTTCACTTTTTATTCAACTCGATTTATGCACACAACAACAAAAGGGTTGCTTTATCTGCAAAGTTTTAAAGACAAATGCAGGAAACATACACCTACTTAAGATAAAAAGAATTTTCCAATTCAGTAAAAGACAACTGTTTTATGGATTATAAGTATATTTTATTATATATTTATATTATATATTGTTTTAAAAATATCTCAGGGCGGCCCAACACCGGGCGTTCTCAGATCCTTCGCTTAGAACTCTTTGTTATATCTAACTTTATATCTATCTTACATACTATAGTCAGTGCAACATATTGTCAGAGTACAATAAAATAATTCATATTAAATCGATATATTATATTTAATATTTAAATTACACCAATGACCCATTTGCTATTCTTTTTTAATTACTGACAATTTCAATATTTGATAGTGATAGAACTAAAAAGTACACTTACTTATCCGAATAAATGATTATGGAGATAATATTATATCGCAGTTAATAATTAAAATTACACTACACTCAAAAGTTGATAACACCCATAAACAAAAATGGGCAAAAGAAAACTGTTGGTGAAATGATGATTGAGATGTCGACACCACTCAGAAAAGTTGGTAAGTTTAAATGGCCTAGTTGTCTTTATATTTATACCCTGAACAGGTAATATTAAGTTTGTAACACACTGAAGAAAACTTCGGAGACCCTATAAAGTGTATATATAAATGATCACTGACGAGTTGAGTTCTGATTCCGACAACTATCAGATTCTTCAACACCCCTGAATGGTCAGATTTTTTCCAACTGTATTATCTACGTAGACGAGCGACTTCTCATAACCCAATTGTCCATCGGTGTTAAATCGCACATTTCTTCAATAAAGTTCGTTTGTTTCGCTGGCTGTATAGCATGTAGCACCGTCTTCTTGAAACTGAAGGGCGTCCACATAAACATCCTCCAACTCAGGTAGGAAAGTCATTAATTATGGCTCTATAGCGGCCCAGGGCCGCTGATAGAAAAGCTGGACTCAGGGTAAAAAGATGGGGGCCCCTCCCTACAAGAATATTTCTAATACTTTATACATTTTATTAATTATCTTCCCATTTACTACTTCAAGAACAAGTCAAATATGACGACGAGTATTAAATTAATTTTTTTGTTGATGTTGGGTGGAACAAATTTCTTTTGTACGATTTTGAAAATCAATAAATAGTTCATACATACAAGTACACTTTCAGTCAAAAATACTATTTCAGATTATACGGGAATATATGAATATAAGGATATCAAGACTTGACAGTTAATTGGAAGATAGAAACATAACTTTAATTTTTTTTGAAAAAGTTTGAGAGCATGCCGTTTAAAGTCTTCAATTATTTGGAACTTGGAATGAGCTTTTCAAGCTTTTGCGCAGCAAATGCGTCGGTAATATTCTGAAAATCCAACTTCTTGGCTAATTTTGCCTCTAGGCACAGTGTAGCTAGTCCTGAAATCCTGCCCTGTGACGAGCATGATCGGTGAACATTTTTGATCCTTGCTTAAGTATTAAACCAACGTTGACTACTTGAAACAGAAACGGGTAAAGTGCAAAATATTCTCAAAGCGATGTAAATATTTGAGAAGTATTTCTAAATTTCGAGCATTGATGGCATTTAATAAGTTTTATGGGGTAAGACGGTGACAACTTATCATATACATCAACGGAATAGTTTTTGCAGTTGCGTTGTGGTCGTCGTCTCTCATATCATAGACCAATAGAAATCAGAACGATTCGTTAAATTCGTTTATGCGGCGAATCTTCTCTTCATTCCCCGGATAACGCTGTCAAGTATGACGTAGAATGTGTGTTTTTTTAATTCAATTTCTTCTTTACTGTAATTTTCATCCACTTCTTCATGCAGGTCGTTTCCGTGTTTTTTTTTTTTTGCTGATGGAAAAAACGTCTCCACATTCTCTAAATTATCTGCAACAATTTTGCAATTTCATTATAAACTGCTTTCCACTGGTCGCGCAGAAATTGCAAGTCTACAAGAAGACTTTCCATATTTTTAACTTCGATGGTGACCTCTTGAAGAATCAAGTTGCTTTCGTTGATTAACTGAAGGATTTTAAACCATATGGAAGCCATTAAAACGCTTTATTTATTATTATTGAAAAGATTGCTTTATTGAAAACCACACATCTAAAAAAAACACCCTGTAATTAAGTCTTCTTTCTAAATATATTTTTTATTTTCCATCTTGTTTTCCCAATAATATTGATTAGTTAATTTTTCATCATATATATTAAATAAATTTCTATATTCACGCCTGTGTTTATTTGATTTCCTCAGATAATCCGTAGTAATATAAAAGTCTACTACTTGTATATTAAAAAAACAATCTTTCTCCACCATTTAAAAGAATATTTGTAGTTCCGTCAAATTATAGTAAAATACCGAAATATATTTTAAATACATATTAATAAAAAGTTAGTTATTTAATTCGTGCGGTTTTCTAAGAGAGGACTCACGAAGTATTAATTCGCGTCGTGTTCAACTGTGGCTATATTCATTTCAAAGGTACTGTCATTTCGCGTCGCTTTCAGTAGATGTCATTTGTTTTAGCGTGAACAACAATTTGTTTCATTCATTTGAAAATGTCGAAATTTGTACCAGATAAAGTGTTTTTGCGGGGAGTTCTTCTTTATTACTTTAACATGAAGAAAAGTGCTACCGAAAGCCATCGTATTTTACTGGACGTTTATGGTGACCATGCTTTAGCCGAACGAACGTACCAAAAGTGGTTTGCACGGTTTAAAAGTGGCAATTTCGACGTAGACGACGGAGAACGACCCGGACAGCCAAAAAATTTTAAAACGAAGAATTGGAGACATTGCTCGACGCAGATGCATGCCATAAGCAAGAAGAACTTGCAAAAGTATTAGGAGTTGATCAAGCAACAGTTTCCAGACGATTAAAATCATTAGGATTCATCCAGAAGCTTGGGTGCCTTATGAATTAAAGCTAAGAGACGGCGAACGTCGTTTCTGCATGTCGGAAATGTTGCTTCAACGCCACCAAAAGAAATCATTTTTGCATCGGATTGTCACTGGCGATGAAAAATGGATTCATTATGATAACCCAAAGCCCAAGAGATCGTATGTGAAGCCCGGCCAACCATTGACATCCACGGCAAAGCTGAATATCCACGGTGCCAAGGTTATGCTATGTATTTGGTGGGACCACAAGGGTGTGCTCTGTTATGAGCTATTGAAATCGGGGCAGACGATCAATGGGAACCTCTACCGAAAACAATTGATTCGTTTGAAAAAGGCCATCGCGGAAAAACGACGAATTAATAATTTTTCATCATGACAACGCTCGGCCACATGTTGCAAGGCCAGTTAAAAACAATTTGGAAAACTGTGGGTGGGAAGTTCTACCTCACCCGCCTTATAGCGCAGACATAGCACCTTCTGATTACCACTTGTTCAGATCAATGCAGAATGCCCTCACCGGAGTACGCTTCACTTCAGAACAGGGTATCAGAAATTGGCTCGATTCTTTCTTGACCTCCAAGCCGGAGAAATTCTTTTGGGATGGGATCCACAAACTGCCAGAAAGATGGGGAAATATCGTAGCTTCCGATGGGCAATACTTTGAACATTAAATGTGTAACTATTTTTTCACAATTTCACACAGTCTTAATTTTCAAAAAAAACCGCACGAATTAATACATACACCCAATATACATAGTATTATTTATTTAATAAATTATGTTTTTTTGCCAGAGTAACGGAAGTTTAAAATTTGAATTCAACGACCGTTTTTAAAACATATAATGCACATGCAAATACAAAAAATGTGTTATGGTAATTATTCGAAAATACTGTTTTAGAGGTTAAAACGTTCCATAATAATAAAAGTTAAGCCGTTCTTATTTGAAACTTACAAATATATAAAATATTAACACAAATAATATTCTTTGTGAGGCATCAAGAAAACAATGCGATAACATTTTTATTTAACTAAAAATATATGATAATTATTTCTATACATTAACACATTTTCATGGTAAACCTCCGAGTCGCTTGTAATCAATTTTTTCTAACTGAACCAACGGTTTCAATTGCTCTGCAAATATACGCATTTCATCTCCGATGGAATCTTGGCCATTTGGAGCGAGAACAGAAAGTTCTACTAGATAACTTTGAGATACCGTATCCGGACCAATTTCTTGTTGTTTTCCTGGAACCGCCTTTATTTTAGACACGGTTATTTTCATTCTTCCTTTCCGAAAAATATAACCTGAAAAAACTAACTAATATTAATTGATTTTATGATGATATGAGTCAAAGCACTGTGAAATATATCGAGTTATCGGCAAAACTTTCTTGTACTTTTTGCAGTGCGGAAATTATTGAATTGTATCGAATTAAATTATGCTAAAACGAAATGTTTTTGTTTATTTTATAGGCATATCTCCTTCAGCAACTGATATGTCCTATGTAAACCAGATGAATGACATAATTTTTGACACCAATCATATGTTTAAGTGATATGAATAAAAACAAGTAAGGAAGGGCTAACTTCGGATGTAACCGAACATTTTATACTCTCGCAAAGTCAAATGGCATACTCGTTTTAGATTTCTTTGTGGATCTTTCCGCCTTGTTCTATGTTGACCGATATTTTCGGTAAAAAGTCAACTATAGGCACCGGGGTCTACATATTCAGTACCTAGGGGCTTGAACAGTTGTGGTTCAATTTAGATAACTTTTGGTCGCAAGGTGGTATACTTTTAACGTATTATTCACGCAAAGTTTTACGGCGATATAATCATTGTTGCTTGATTTGCATAGTGGAAATTGAAAAAATCAGATGAAGTTTAAAATGGTGTTATATGAGAAATAGGCGTGGTTGTAATCCGATTTCGCTCATTCTCGTACTATAACATAGAAATATGAGAAGAATATTACGTACCGAATTTGGTTGAAATCGGTTAAGCAGATCCCAAGATATGGGTTTTCACCTAAAAGAGGGCGGTGCCACGCCCACTATCTAATTTTGAACATGGTTCCTATAAAGTCATCTCATACCATCCCAAAGATAAAATTTAATGTCTCTGGCGTGTTTAGTGCTAGATTTATCGCGCTTTTAGTATTTTTTTACAGTACCGTTATATAGGGGTGGGCGTCGTTGTCACCCGATTTCCCCCATTTTCACACTGTGGATAGAGGTGCTAAATATATTTGTTCCCAGTGAATTTTGTTATTATAGCTTTAGCGGTGATGTGCACATTAAACCTGTTAGGGGCGGGACCACTCCCACTTTTTTTTTAACACATTTTAACTGCAGATGCCCCTTCCTAATGTGATCCTGTATACCAAAAAACAGTCTTGTATCTTGTTGTGGAGCTTAGTTGGCAGTGATCCGATGACGCCCATCTGCAATACCAACCGTCTTATGGTACCAAGAAACATGTGTACTAAGTTTCATAAAGATATCTCAATTTTTACTCAAGTTACAGCTTGCACGGACGGGCGGATAGACGGTCACCCGGATTTCAACTCGTCTCTTCATCCTTAAAATTTATATATGCATAACCCTATATCTAACTCGATTAGTTTTAGGCGTTACAAACAACCGTTAGGTGAACAAAGCTATTATACTCTGTAGCAACATGTTGCGAGAGTATAGGAAGAACCTTTCGAAGGAGATAAGTCCGCTGAAAAAAAATTTTAACTCCATCAAACTGTGGTTTTTTGACTGTGATCTTGTGATTAGACAATCATGTACCGCAATAAACATTACAAATGATTTAGGGCAAAAAAAAAATAATTGCTCTTTAAATAATTTCATAATTTTTTTGTTGAGAAATATTTTTACTTTGTCTATTGATATATTAATACGATTAAACTAATATTTATAATCGTAATAATTGTACCCAAACGCTGGCTTCTTACAAATTAGTAGTTAGTAAATATGCTTTTCCATTTTTCAAATTGAATCAACATTAAAAACTAATTAAACGACTTATTACATGGAATCTTGTCAAGTCACAACGAGCATACAATTTCAAATCTAGTAGATAAAACGGTTTTAAATTTAAATTAACGTTATTGTTTTCCATTATGTTTCATTTTACAATTTCTGTCACAAATTAAGGAATTCCGCTAAATACTTTAAACAGTCTTATGTTATTCTGTAACAGTATACTATTATACTGGCAACCATAATACAGCATATATCATTAGATTAAAAAAACTTCTTATAAAATACTAAAAGCCGCTTGAATACGCTTTGGAACTTATAAGGCAATACAAACTTACCACGACTGACGTATTCGAAATCCAATCTGCAACCCAGTTCTGTAAGAAAATCTAGAATTGTGGATGTGCAGCCAACATCTATGCTAGAACGAACTAGTGTTGGGCGAGATCTATCTAACTCAGGCTGACCAATGTATCGCAATTGGAATGGAGAATCTCTATCTAAAGCTCTACGAACACGAAGCATTAGTGGAGCGGTCTGTGTTGGCTGCCTTAGACTTAAACATACTTCCAAATCATGAAACTGTTCTGGTGATGCATCTACGGTATCACATAGTCCTCTTAATCTGTAATATAATAAATATTCTCTTGTTTACAGTACTACATATATGAATGTCATAATCAATTGTACATAAACTAATAGATCGATAATTTTTAATTATAACCATTTTCAATTTAATTTAATTCAGCACTATTCGGCTAGCTCAAATGAGATACAAAGTAAGCGCCAATGAAATAGTCGGAAGTCAATAATAAGGATATAAGGTTTAGAGCTAGGTGTAGATCAATTTCATTCGCATTCAGCGCTAAACCACACTATGTTTAAAAGCAGATGGAAAGTCAAAATGGATGGAAATCACTATATCTCGTATATTGGGCTTACTGATGTATATCCGAGCACATGCAATTATATAAAGATAATTCAAACACTGACCGACATATTCCGTATAAATTATACTAAAATAAAGTACCATAAATCATTATAAGTAGTATGTGGAAGTTGAAGTAATTCATGGACCAACTTCACACATCTTCGGATATTAAGCTGTATCTAATATTATACTTTCACTTAACTTCACTAAAACATCTTACATAGAAGTTTAAAATTCATATCTTAGGTATACGGGGGCTATCTCTCTTTAATACCATTTTGTCTTTGTACTTATAAATTGTAATAATGGATAAAATCGGGCGCGTAGTATTGGCCGATGGTATTAAGAGGGTGCGTCTCTAATAACACTCTCTTAATTTCTTTAAGATATCTCACATATTGATGATGTTGTTGTTGTTGTAACGGTTATCTAGTCCCCGCTTGGATGGTAAGTGATCGTTTGGTTGTCGTCGAGGTCATCTAACGGGAGGCCCAAGAAACGGGCTATTTCGACGGGGTCGGACCATAGGGAAAAGGGTGTTAGATGAGTTGGGTTTGTTGGGCATGCAAAGAGGTGGTTAGTATCATGCGGGGCCTCATTGCATGCAGGACATGTGTTTAGTATGTCGGAGTCTATTCTGGATAAGTAGGAGTTTAACCTGCTACAATATCCAGAACGAAGTTGCGCGAGGGTCACTCTGGTTTCGCGGGGCAACTCGAGCTCTACGTCTGCTATAGGTGGTGGTTTGACTCCTAATACGCCATTCACTGAGAGGGAGTCGATGAAGGTGTTAATGGCTCCACTGTGAATGGCGGTCAGTGCTTATCTGTAGTTCGTTGCGTCCGAAGACCGGTCGGCGTACTGTCTGTCGACGTAATCAAGGAATGACCTCTTGATGTTCCTAGGAGGCGGTTCCGCTTCAAGCAGGCGACTGCAGGGGTGATTTCTGCAAAAACACCCTAGCAGAAACTGCTTGGAGAGGAGCTCATTATGTTCTTTAACCGGAACCATAAGGGCCTCACTATGTAGGTGTTCAATTGGGGACATCAAGAGGCACCCCGTGATAGTCCGGAGTGCAGTGTTTTGACAAGTCTGAAGCTTCCTCGTCTGCGTTGCACTACATACAGGCGACCAAATTGGATATGCGTAGTTTGGGACCGGCCGGCCGATTGCCTTGTAAGTTGCCAACAACGTTTCTTTGTCTTTTCCCCAAGAGCTGCCGGCAAGGGACTTGAAGATTTTGTTGCGGCTCTGTACTTTGGCAGTTATCGCCGTCGTCTGAGGAGTGAAGGAGCACAGACTGTCCAATGTGACGCCTAAAATTTTAGGGTTATTTACTGTCGGAATTTATGTGCCATCGACTGAAATGTTCAGGTTCAGTCTGTACTCCTTCGTCCAATTTGTGAAAATGGTCACTGTGGATTTAGTGGGGGAGAGTGTTAGGCTCCTTGCAGAAAAGAAGCGAGAAAGATCGGAGAGGAAGCTGTTTACTTTTGAGCACATGCCATCGATTCCATTTCCCGACGTCAATATCGTGCAGTCATCAGCGTACGAGGTCATGGAAATTCCCTCTGGTGGCTGGGGGAGTTTCGAAATATAGAAATTAAACAGTAGTGGGGAGAGGACACCCCCCTGCGGAAGCCCCTGTTTAACTTTCCTAAGTTTGGAGTTTTGACCTCAAAACAGTACGGATGAATGCCGACCGCTCAGGTTGTTCATAGTCCACCGCTTCAGCCCTGGAGGGAGTGTTGATTGTTCTAGGTCCTCAAGTAGCTCTGTGTGATTGACTGTGTCAAGTGTCTTCACTACTGGGGAAAGGAGAGTTATCGGGCGATAAGACTCCCCTTTGTTGGCGGGCTTCCCAGGTTTCAGTAGTGGGACCACTCTTCCGACTTTCCACACATTGGGTATTTGAAGAGTGGACATCAACTAGTTGAGGACCTTGGTTGATAGTTGAGCCTAGATGTCTTAGCATCAGCATGCTTATTCCGGCAGCGCCGATGGATTTAGACGATTTCGCCTTTTTGATGACACTCTGAACCTCCCCATCGGTGAAAGTAAGTGGTGCGCAGTCGGTTGTTGTTGTTGTAGCGGCAGAATTCTGTCGAGTTGACAGTCCTTGGCCGGAATAAATCCGGGTCCGTTCCGGTTACATATACCCGACTGACGTCCGTAGGAATGGGTAGTGCGTTGAAGGTACTCTCAGTAAATTCTGTGAAGCCGACCCAGTTAGCTTTGTTAAAGTTAATGAAGGTGCGGGTCAGTTCCGGTAACTTAGAACCGGCTGTTGTGGAAATTGTCACATATTGATCTATATATACGGTATAGCCAACCGGACGTTCGAAAATCTTTCTATTATATGTACATATATTGAACCGATGAATTAAGTAACTTTGATGAATCTGTGAAAATATTTCCTGCCACTGTGTTGATTTTCTCCTCCTAAAAGGTTTCAGATACATATCTCCCAAATCATCATTGTAGTTACATAAACCAAACTTGCTGAGAGCTTTCTAGCAATTGTGCATACTCCATACAAAGATTACAACTGCTGAAAATTAGTCAACCCAATGAATAAACACCTCAGAAACATTACATATTATAGGAAAGACTCGATTAATTTATACCAAATTCATCAACCACAGTTTAATAAAATGGAATGTTAAGATGATCTAAATTGCCTTTTTAATCGCCCTGGGACCGAAAAATATACTACAAGCAAGAAGAATGAACTAAAATTTATATGTTTGGAAGTTTTATGAGTAGCGATCTAGCAGTGGTAACATACAAATTCGTTGGAAATATTTGCTTCGACTCACTATTGAAAATACAATTGGGAAAATGTCGCGTCATGATAAAATAGAGATGTTATTGTTTAACGCTACTGAATTTAATTGAATTAACGTACGTAGTGAATCTAATTACTGCACTGCTCTACCCCTTTCGAAACAGCTCGTTATCTGGGCCTCCCGTTAGACTCTTCAGGCCTCTGCGAATGGCAGGCACCTTGCCGTGGTGCAGGGGCTTAAGTCGCAGGCATTCTCGGCATCTCCCAACTGGTGCGAGCGGTGCTTGCACCCTCACACTGGTTGTCAGAGGCCGTATGCGTGCGACAACCAAGAGCTGCCACCTTCTAATCCAGGGTGTTATGCGACTCCCGTGCCCATTGGATGATTTGCAGCCAGGAGGTAAATTCGGCTGTATTCTAACCTAACCGAAACCGGGCCGCATTGGGAAGTAACGGTGGCCTTACCGCGTCAAGGGGCTCAAACGGATCTCGGCAACAACAACAGCTAACGACTTTGGAAAGTGGCAACGATAAGGGCAGCGGTGCAGGTAAGGGCGAATCAGGGGCTAAACGAAAGTTCAGCTTCCTGGACGCGCTTTCGCCAGAGGAGCGAGCGCTGTTCGAGGAGCATGCCACGGACGACGACGATGACATGCCCTCGTGCAGCGGCGTTCAGCAGGCGATTTCGACTGCGGCCGCTGCGGAAAAAGCAAAAGAGAACCCCACGGAGACTCTCTCGAGCAGGAGCAACTGCTCGGATGCAGAGGAGTCGCAACGGGCGACCTCCGGTGGGGCTCTTAAACGGAAAAGGAAGAGGGAAGGCAGACTACCCCCCCTGCCACCAACGGGATGTCCGGGAGGACAGGACGATCCCAGGAGAAAAGGTATGAGCGGTGCCAGCCTGAAGTGGTACCTGAGGCACCTCCAGGAGGGAAGAACTCCGGAGGTAGCAGAAGACCTAGCGCGGAACAGGGTGAGAGGTGACAGCACTTCCCCGGCTTCCGGATATCAAAAGGGTGGTAATACCGCGGCCACTAGGAAGCGCAATGGCAACAATCGAGGCTACTGCCCAGTAAACGCAACTCAGCCCGCAGGCCGAGGTTGCGAAAGGGCAGCTCCCTCGACCACCCAAGCGGTGAAGCGAAAAAGTGGACAGCTGACGCCACAAGAGCCACCCAACACCAAGCGGCAGAGGGGCAACGTTGCTCAGGCGACTGGTGGCAACCGCTCCGCCCCAAATCCCCCCCGGGTAGCGGAGGGACAGTGCAGGTATGCGGATGCCCTCAAAGGCATTCGTATGGCGGTGCTGCCGCTGAACTACCCGGCGGAGACGCTGGGGTCGGAGGAGCTCACCGTGCTCCAAAATTTGCTCATGGAGGAGGTATTCAGGGGGTCTGGATACAAAGCCTCCTTCCATGGGGTTTATTTCAAGGGAGGCATATTGCAGGTTGACTGCAAGGATGAAAGGTCGGCTTGTTGGCTGCGGGAGATCGCTCCCAAGCTGGCAGGCTGGAATGGACCCATCCTCTGCGCGAAAAAGGGGGACGAAATTCCGCCCATGCATAGCATGACGGTATTCCTCCCCAGATGCGCAGGCAAGCCTTACGAATTTGCTCTCGGGCTCATCCGCAACCAGAACGATGGCCTCAATACATCGGCCTGGCGGGTGACCAGCAGCACTGCGGAGGATTCAGGGTGGAGGCTCAACCTCTCAATAGATGACGAATCGTACAAATTCGTCAGGAAGGTGAGCTTCCGTCTGAACTATAGGTTCAGCTCGGTGGTCCTGAGGCCATTCAGGCCTAAAACGACCACCGAGGGCGATGCAGGTGGATGAGGTTGCGACTCATCCCTGCGCAAGTACGTCAAAGCAGGCGGCAACTGCCGAGACATCGGTGAAGGTCCC